TATGAGGACCACTGTGATCATATCCAACCCACCCAGATAGTTCAGGACAATCTCCCCATTTCAAAATGTTGAACTTCATCACATCTACAAAGTCCTTTTTGCCTTGTAAGGTAAGGTATTTGCAGGTTTCAGGGATAAGGACATGGACATCTTTGGGGACCATTATCTGCCTCCACTAGGAGGCTCTGGAAGTAGTGAGTCAGTAAATGTGAGGGAGGGAAAAATGCTCACGGCCTGGACAGGATGGGGAATGATTTAGTCAATAGGGGCTTCCAGGAACTGCCAGGAAAAGGTGGCCCTGCTTTAGGCAAAAAGTGACATCAGGATAAGGTAGCAGAGACATTACAACTTCCTGGTGCACCGCTCTTTACAGTTTGTAAAGGGCTTTTTATGATCTCATAGAGGAAGAAACTGACAAGTGGACAATGCTTCACCCAAGGTCAGGTATAAATGGCAGAGCCAGGACTTGAATCCAGGAGTGTTTGGCTTCAAGCCTAGGGGTGGGTCTTCCCATCACACCCCAGGTGCCTCTGTGCCCAGCACAGCTGATACATGCACAGTGGGTTGGAGGCCAGAAAACTGGGAGTGGGCACGGCACCCTAGGAAGGACAGAGGCCACTGGGCTTGTGGTCCAACAGCTGGGGCTCCCATCCTGCACTGTCACTCAAGCTGTGTGACCTTGGGCAAGTCACCTACATCCATGAAAGGGCCAGTAAGGATGGCTGTTGCATTAAAGGACAAGACCCACACATAAACACAGGGAGTGGGGCTGGAGTGTGGGGTCAGCTCCCTAACATGCTTTGGAAAGATGGATATTTGATTTTTAGTTTCACAAGCAGTACTTCTGGCGTGTTCTGACCTCCACCAGTGGGGACTTCTCCTCGTGCAATATTTAACTACCCCAAGTGCCCCAGTTTCCTGGGACCATCCTAAGAAAGCACCAAAACTGAGTAGCTTAAACAACACACATTATTGTGTCACAGCTGTGAGGCCAGAAGTCTGAGATCAAGGCCTCGGCAGGGATGGTTCCTTCTGAGGGCTCTGAGGGAGAGTCTGTTTCACGCCCGGGGAGCCTGGCTGCTGGTGGTTGCTGGTAATCCTGGTGTTTCCTGCCTTGTAGACGCCTCACCCCATCTCTGCCTACATCTTCCCCTGGCGTTCTCTTTGTCTGCGCGTCTGTGTCCAAACTTCCCCCTTTGACAAGGACACTGGTCCTTTTGGATTAGGGGCCTACCCTCCTCTAGTGTGACTTCATCTTAACTAATTACGTCTGCCACAACCCGATTTCCAAAGATCCCACTCTGAGGCACTGGGAGTCAGGATGGCAACATACGAAATTTTAGGGACACAATTCAACCCATTACACAAAGTACATGAAGTTAAAAAGTTAAGCCACTCTACACAGCTCCAAAGATACCTCCTTTCCCGTTCTAGACGTTGACACCAGCTGATCAGTGTTATGCATGCCTTCAAGACCTTTTTCTTTGCATTTACAATCAAATACAAATATCTTTTGGGGAGATTTGTTGTTGGTGGGTTTTTTTTTTTACAGCATGTGGAATCTTATAATACCCATTTGTTTTCATTTAATAGGTTGTAGAGAGGCTTGTCAGATCAGTGCCTTGTTTATTAGCTATGGCCTTGGGGAGGGAGACGGGGTGGGTGAAACCGCGGGGAAACCACCACCCCAAAGCCCAGCTTTTGGACCCTCCTTTCTGGCTGAAGTGCGGTGGGGGGCTTGGTGCTGGGGGCAGGAAGCTGTCCTCCAGGCCTGCTCTCCAGTCCTCTGCGGAAGGGGCCCCACGCCACGGTAGTATTGAATTATTTAACCATTGGCTAGTGGGTTTGGGAGCTGCTACACCACTTTATTATGGGGAGGTTGGAGGGGGGCCCCATGGGAGGGGCCTGCAGGCTGGGGCAGCACCTGTTGACTAGTTAGTCCTGGTACTTCACAACCAGGTCAGCTGCTGGTGCAGCAAGCCAAGGATCAACCCACCTGGCCCTGTTTTTCGGCACCTGGCTCTGGGTGACCCTATTCGGCTTTATGAGGGAAGTTAATTACTTGTCTAGAAGACAATGAACAGGAGGAAAATAAGACACTTTCTGGCTGGTCAGCTCACTGCCTTTGGGAGTTTGCCCCAAGCAGTGAGCCCACAGCCCACGGAGGGGGAGGATGTGGGTGGCTTCTTAAAGTGGGTTAATTGAGTAGCTCCATCTCTAGCCTCGGGGGTTACAAACTGGCGATGTCAGGAAAGCACTCTCCAGGACCTCAGAAGCAAGCGGGCACCAGGCCCAGCCCCCTTGCAGGGCCTGTTGCAGGAGCTGCTGCAGGTGGCCACAGGTCTGGGGCTTTCCCTCCCCCCCCCCAGGGTGTTGGACGGAGTGGCTTGTCCTTGCTGTCCACTCAGGGCCCTGGAGACAGAAGGAGCCGAAGGATACCTGGTTAATGGAAGAGGGAAGTTATCCTCTGCGCTGTTCCGCTGACTTCTCTTGTGAGGCCACGGCTTTGAGTCTCTTGGGCAATGGGGAGGGGAGTGCTTTCTTACGGGAACCCCCTACCCCACCCCTGCTTTGGTGTCTCCAGGCCGGTTTCCACAGACCTCCTTGCATTCAATTCCACCTCCATTACCACTGTCAGAAGGCGGCTGGGTGAGCAGAGACCAGACAGGGCAGGGAGGAGCTCTGGCCCTAGGAAGCTGATCCTGGGTCACCTGACCTACACTGTCCCAGGGACAGGGTCTGCAGCACCAGCCTGCAGCTCCCTCTGCAGGCAGCTTGAGAGAACTGCACAGGAGGTTTTCCCTGCAGCACACGTCCGTCCAAGAGAGGTCAGGGTCATTGTGGGTGTTGTCACTCCCTCTGCCCTACCAGGGGGGATGCAATACTCTGCTTTCCTTATAATTACCCAACTTGGCTGTGTCTTCTTGGGACTTAAATGGCAGCTTCTTTGCAGGGTTGACTTTTTTGCCATCTAATTACCGTCGTTTGGGTGCCTCACTGCTGCTGCACCAGCCTCCTCTCTGAGGTCCAAAGACCGGTTCTTGGCTTCCTTCGGTAAAGGCTCAGCCAGCTCATTATGGTCATTAACACCATCCACTCAATACCTGGGCTTTTGTTCCTTGCTGTGGGAGACAGGAGTTGCATGTCAAGAGGTGACCAGAAGGCAGGGATGGCAGCCAGTTCATGGACTGGGAGGTGTATAATTGGAGCTTGAAAGTGGGGATGTGGTTGGTTGAACCCACGCTGCTAATGGGCTGATGGACTTCTGGGGTGGTTGAGATGGGGCTGGGAGACGCTTTTTCCTCCATGTCCCCATCATCCTTCCCCTTCCACTCACTGCCATCCCATTTCGGGTCCTCAGTCCTGCTGCTGCTAAGTGTCCTGAGTGGTCCCTGCCACCATGTTTTTCCTACTTAAGTGTGGCCCGCAGCCAGGACATCCCCTGGGCTCCACCCCAGGCTCCCGAATGTGCGTGTTAACAAGTCCCCTCCTAGGATTGTGTCTCCATCCTGCTCAGCGCCTTTGACATCCTCCCTGTTCCCACCACCCAGAGGACGAGGTTTGAGCTCTGCAGCCTGCGTTCAAACCCTGCCCCCCGCCCCGAATGGCCTCCCTCCTCGCATCCTGTGAACACTCGCCATTCCTCAAACACACCTTGAGCTCATTCTCTAAGCCCAGCCTACTCCTGCAACTACTGCCACGCCCACCCTGCCCTCCTTGCCAGCTGGAATCCTAACCCGCCTGCAGGACTGGTCAAATGCCTTCTCCTCCTCCTCCCTCCTGGATATCTCGATGGGGCAATCTTCTCTGATCCTGGCCTCTGCCGAGACATCCAGGAGTAACCTCATCCTCTTTTCAAGTCCTGCTGTACTTGACCTGCATTTTTCTCTCATTCTTACATCCCTGACTTGTTCATAAACCCTGACAGGCAAGAGGCTTACACAGTCTGAAGTGTGGTGGACCACTCCATCCCCCTCAGCATAATCTGGAAGATTCTGGAATTTTACAGGTTCTTGGCTCTCTCGCTTGGATTCTTAGGTCAGGACTTGTGAGGGATGGGCACAGGAACTTGCATTTTAAGCGAACTCCTTGGGCAGGCCTTAGTGGGTAACCACCGGTATGTGGAGACCCGCTTTGACTGTCCTAAACCAAGACAACTTGCCGAGCCACCTGCACTAGGTCCTGCCCATCAGGGTCACAGCAAGGATGCTAGGAAATAGCAAATGCACCCCAGAGCTAGCAAAGTGCTTCACATAGAGAGCCACCAGGAGGAATTAGCCCCAAAGTACCACGGTGTTCAGAGCCATGCTCTTCATAGTAGTGAAAACTGAAACCACCTAATTATCCAGTAACAGTGGAACACATCTTATAGTATGTTCACCCTAAGATCATCCAGCTATTAAACAAGTAATACGGGGAAAACACACATACACTTAGAGTAAAGAATTGTGTGTGATGGCTAATCTTCAAAGCTGGTTCCCAAAGAAACAGGCCTCCTGGTACTCCAGCCCCTGTGTGGTCAGTCCCCTCCCACTGCAGACCTGGGCTTGCCGGGGACCTTGTGACTTGCTTTAACCACGAGGATGTGGCCAGAGAGATGTTGTGCCTGTTCTGCACATTAACGCCCGGCAGCTTCTGCTTCTGCACTTTGGGGATCCCCGTGCCATCAAGTGAGAAACCTGCCCACCCTGCAGTAGCGGCCCTTGAGGAATGAGTGAGGCCCAAGATCTCCTGGAGAAGCCCAGCTGTCCCACCACCTCCCGAACAGCTGCACGTGCCTGAACCATCATCTTGAATGTGCCAGGATGGCCAGTCCCCACACCTGGACAATCTTCTGGCGGAAACTTGTCAACAGCAGAATCATGAGACATAATAAAGAAAAGACTGGCTTAATAGCAACTCAGTTGTGTCACACAGTAATAACCAGGACAGGTTACAAAATAGCAGAGATGTTACCTCAACTTTTGAAATACGCAAAATTAAGAGGGCACATACTACCATCAGTGATTATTGCCTGCTTTATTATTTGGCTACATTTTGGGTTTTAAACAATGAACATTACTATCTGTGTACGAAAACAATGTCACACTTGATAAAATCCACTTCACTTTTAGTTTAAAAAAAAAGCTGCAGGTAAATGAGTGTTGGTCCCCAGGGTGTAGCTCCACCCCCTCCCCCCACCTGCCCTTTCACCGGAAGGTCATCTCTTGTTGCCAGAACGTTCTTTCTCAGGTATGGAGCTCTGTTTCTACTTTAGAGGTCACAGCTTCTGGGGAGCAGACTACCCAACATTAAGGGAATCAGGTCCCTTTAATTCCTCACATTTATGCTAAGCCCAGCTAATGCAACACAATCCCCTTAGGCCACCAATGAGGACTCGAATCCCCGTGTTGGTGCTGCTGGGGCTTTGCTCTGGTTGTTCCTGCCCCTGCCCAGCCTCCCTCACTTCCTGGCTTTGGGTCGTTATCACCACTGAGTATCAGGGGAGGACGAAGTCCGGAGGGGGCAGAGGTCAGCCAAGGCAGAGTTTGCTTGGCCAGGAAATACCTCACCGAGAGAACCGGGGACAGAAGGCAGTGGCCTAGTGTCGGCCACTGAGCTGCCACCCTAGCAAGTGAGGGGACCTGAGGAATCAGGCCCTGCCAGCCCTTCCTTCAGCTCACCTGCCCGAGGGATGCAACGGTGCAGAGAGCAGGACTGGGAGAAGCAGCAAGTGACACAGACTTCAGACGTGAAGCTACTGACGAGACCATCATGCTTCCGTCTAATTTTTAAATAATATCTAGTTCTGATTTTTGATGGAAGAGATGCCAGACACTCTGCAGTCAGCTCTAATGGAGAAGAAAGCACGGTACTCAAATGGAGGAGACCTTGAAAAAGAAAATCAAAGCCTGCTTTTATTGATGTTCCGACAGACTGACCGGAGATTTGGAAGGGATGGTTCGTTAATACAATACTCATCATCAAAGCAAACTGAAAAGACAAAGGCATCTGAAATGGCTTTACAGTGACATGATGCCTTAATAAGTTAAGAAAAAGGACAGCTCGCTAACTGCCTTCTCATTTCATGCTCTTTACAAACTCCTCTCCCTTCTTGATGGAGGCTTTCAGCTCAGGAATGGCCTCGGCGATCATCTTCTCTTCAAAAGGGGAGATTTTGCCGATGCCTAGATTCTTCTCGATGCCCTTTTTCTGGAGAGAGGGGAGGTGGGAATAATGAATGAGTTTATTGCAGAAAACCCAGCTTGTAGCTTCATCGCTCTGCCTGGACTGTCTACACGAGTGGCCTCTGGGAGCCCACTGAGGGGTGGCACATCCCATACGGGATGGGAATGAGCCGGGCCAGCTCTGGCCTTGGTCAGGCAGCCCTGGGCTGGGACCTGGGCTGTCAGTTACACGCCAGGTTGGCTTCCTTTTCTATAAAGGGGCCCCCAGTCTACCTCACAGGAGGCTATGAGGACACACGTGGGTGACCTGGCACGTGGCACACTCAACACTTAGCAGCACCCGAGTTACTCGCCCTGCCACAGAGTGTACCTTTGGGATCTAGTTTCTTTTCCAAATTGGTAAAGGACTGAAGAAACACTTTAATATCCACCTGAATCTAACGTAATTAAGCAGGTGAACGTCAGACATGAGGAAAACAGTAGGTGCCTGTCACAATTTCATCCTCCGTAGCTGGGCTGTTTGTTGGAGCCCCTACCCTGGCGAGGACAGTCAGCCGCGGGGTCCTGACCCACGGGCCCCACCACACTGCACACACCTGTGCTGACCTGGTTCCTGAATTCATCTCTTCAGAGTCAGTCTTAGGAATTTTGGACACGAGGGTGTCCGTGGAAGGGCTTCTGGTGGCCTAACAAGTCATGAAATGGCTTCCTTCTGGGCAGGAGATGAAGGCGGGCACATATCTGCCTGGTTCCAGCAGGTGCCCACACTTAAGAAATGGAACCCTGGTTCCACGGTTTGTGGGAATGAGACTAGGAGTCCTGCCCACTGAGGACTCAGAGTCAACCTGACCTGGCAGCTACCCTAAAATGGCCTGGCTAAAGCCAGCAAGGTAATGAGATGGACTCCATCCGAGCGCCACATTCCAAGGGGAACGCCTGCAGCAGAGACGGAAAACCAGTGTGACAAGGAGCCAGGACGCAGGGAAGCCTCAACTGGAAAGTCTAACAGCTATGCAAAGCCACACCTGGGGCTCCTTGGAAGAGGAACGAGGCTCATCAGGGCCTGAGGAACCTCTTCTGTGAGGGCTGTCCGTGGGCTGCCTTGAGATGGACCGAGGGTCTCACCAGGAACACACCCAGGCAGCCGCTGCCGACCAGTTGCTGGGGCCGTGAGATTCCCATCAGCCCTGGGGCTGAGGACTTCCCTGCTCTTAGTTCTGTGGTGCACTTCTCCCTCAAAAAGCCAAGCTCACTCTAGGCGGTGAGACGCAGTCACCACACAGGGAAATCCGAACCATGGCGCAAACGCTCGGGGCAGAGCTGTCAAGTTTTACCATGGAGACCCAGCCTCCAGGATACATACCCCCAGCAGCAATGGTGTGGAGAAATACGGACAGTCTGTTTCCTGGGACTTAACAAAGGAACATTCGACAACTCCTTCCTTTCCGTTCATAGCATCCAAGAGGGAGAAGACAAACCGGGCTCCGGCATATGCCATGGACAGGGTGGCAGAGCCTAGGAGGACACAGGCAGGTCAGCCAAGCTGGCAATGTGACCGTAAAATGCAGGTGAGCCCATCCCGCCAGCTAAACAAAGCAACCGCACAACCTCCAGCTCTCGTAGTTGAGACCTCAGGTCAGCATCCCTTGACCCGCAGACTCATGAATGGCGTGAAATTGGGGTTGCTGACCTCAAACACTACTCCACGCCACCAGGCAAGCTGAGCTGCCCTGACCTGGGGCTTGCTCGTCAAGCGGCCAGACGCAAAACCTAGAAAAGGACCAGCTCCTTGCCAGGCCCCCGTGAGTCTTCAACTCTGACTCTAACTGCCCAGGGCTGCCTCCGAGAGCCTACCTGCTCCAGCTTTAGCCTTGACCACCTCCGTGCCGGCCTCCTGGATGCGCCCCGTGAGGGTGGTCAGCTGGTCCTGGGGAAAGTCCACCTTGGGGGTGCACTGCAAGCGGAAGCCACAGGGACCACGTGAGCAGGGCCAGGCCCATCACCTCCCAGGTCCCGCATCCTCCTCCCCCACCACCAGGCAGGCCCCCAGCATCACCGCCCCATGGGAAACCAAGACCTTTTCTTTAAAGAAAAAAGCTGATTTTATTGGGAGGTGTGGTGAGTTCCCTACTCATTTTTAAAGAACTTTTTCTATTTTGGACTAATTTTAGACTTAGAGGAAAGTTGTAAAAATAGCACAAAGATTTTCCTCACCTGGCTTCCCCTGATGTTACATCTTACATAACCACAGTGCAAGTACGAAGAATAGGACATTAATAGCGCACGTTATTAACTAAGCCACAGACCTTATTCAGTGTCAAACTGTCCCACTACTGTCCCTTCTCCGTTCAGGGTCTTGCCTAGGACCCCCGAACTCAGGGATCTTGCCTTGGCCAGTTCCCATCTTCCCTGGCCTTTCACAACATCTGTCGAGAGTGCCCACTGCTCATTTTGTAGGATGTCTACCAACTTACATCTATAAGGTGTTTCCTCAGGATTTCCCTGTGAGGTTATGAGATGGTGTCATGTATTTTATTCTCGGTGGTTTTACCTCATTGCCTACTCATTTTCAAACAAAGCAGCTATGCCTGCTCTAACCTGACCAGGAAGTCAGCAATGGTTCCTTGTATGGAGGAGCTGGCCATCTTGAACACCTTCTGACCACACTCACTCCCCCAGCTGTGGACTCTGAAAGGCTCCAGCCTGATCACAGCCCCACAGGCCCTTCGAGAGACCCAGACTGGGATGGGGCTGTACCCATAGCAGGAATCCTTTCAAAATATAATGGATAGTGAGATTTTTGTCAGCCTGTCCCAAGGGCCCCTAAGTGGAACCTCTGGACGGTGCTCATGACCTTCAGGCTTCCGGGCAAGGTGACGCACACACCTGAGAGATCACGGGGATGATGGTCTTCCCAGCATGGCCGCCAATGACAGGAACGTTGACTCGAGCTGGATCCAAACCCTGGTCACCAAAGTGTGAAGCTTAATTAATTTTTAACACACACTTTTGAGTGTAAAACATGTCATATCTACCTAAGGCACCAATACTGGAAAAATCTACAGAACTCAGAACAAAACAAAGAAGTCAGGAAAGAGGCTGTCTGACCCCAGCTATGCTTACAGCTCTTATCGGGCCCCACTAGATGGTCTAACATCTGTTTGCACATGTGCAGTGAGGAGTAACTAGGTGTCTGGTGAGGTCACTATGAGGTTTCCCTTCATGACGGACCGAAAACTGCCTCCTTGAAGGGTCTCCCCAGTTGGTCCCCATCAGTCTGATAGATTCCTGGAACCAGAGGATGACAGTCCTCTTTCCCACACCTGATGTCATACCCCAGGCAAAAGCCCAGACGCGTGTGCCCACACTCTGTCACCGAGAACAAGTCAAATTCTCTTTCCCTCATATCAGAGCAAGATTCCAGAAAACCCAGGGGTGAGAAGTCTGTCAACTCAAACTGATTGGGACAGAAAGAATGAAACCAAATTGAAAGGGGTCACAATGCCATGGCTACGCAGGGCTTGCTGGGGCGGCTGACTCATTTGTTAAACCAGAGACATGACGCCCCCAAGAATCTAGGAACCAGGTATCTCTTAAGACAGTCAAAAAAAGAAGCTGGTAGGAGTTATGGGAGGGGGTGAGCAGTCCCCAGATGCTTCCACCTTCCCTAAATGCTGCAGCTGCTAAAGAGAGATACCCTAAGTTAGGAACCAGACTCACTCAGGGAGGCCCAATCTCAAGAACAGGCAGACCCAGCAGCACCGAGTTAACGGAGCAGGGAGCTTGCACAGCAGTGCCTGTGGGCCAAGGCACCGTGCTGGTCACCAGGGACACGGGCACCAACAGACAGAGCCCCTGCTTTTGAGAAACGCATTGTCTTAAGAAAGACATTGAAACAGACACAAATGGATGCTCCAGTGTGATGGGCTAAGCCAACCACAGGATGGCTGTGGAAGACAGGGGTGCCCTTACTCAGCCTGGCAGAAGGCTTTTTGGGGGCAGACCTAACTTCATCTGGCAGGGAGCAGGACTCTGCCAAGGGAAGCACATTCCAGGCAGAGGGGGCAGAAGGAGCAAAGACATGAGGTATAAAGAGCATGTTAGCACTCAGCAGAGCATGAAATGCAAACAGCGAGCCCAGTGGAAAGGGAAGGTCGTGGTGCAGGGGGCTGGAGACAGCCAAGGTGGAGGGAGGAGCCAGAGGCTGCAAGGTTAAGGGCTGCCTTTCAGTCCTGATAGAACTCAAGAATTTTTCTGAATACAAGGCAGCCTGAGGTAAAGGGCACATCACTTAACTGACTCGTCCAGCACTAGATTCTCTGGCAAGGGCCGAGACACCCTTCCTCCACCCCACACAGCAGTGCTTCCAGGCTAAGGCTGCATGTCTGAGAACTACGCAGGCACACAGCGGCCACGGGTGGCTGTGAAGCATCTGAAGTGCGGCAAGTGCAACAGAGTACGTGAATTTCTAATTTATTTAATTGTAATGAAACAGCTGCATATATCTACTGCTGCAGCAGGACTAGGGGCCCAGGTAAATATGTGCTTTGTCCCCGAAGAGCCAGGAGCACCACGGCAGACCTAAGGGAATGAACACCACTGCTTCCAGGAACCCAGGGTGTGAGCCTCAGAAAGCTGGGACCCCCACCCTCCTGACCTGTCCGTGTTCAGACTCGGTTCCAATGAGATCTCCTCCGCAAAGCCTTTCTGACTCAAAGAGGGTCATGCTCTATACACATGTGCGCTGAACTGATGATTCAGTTCAACTGTCTCTGGAATTAGTGTCTCCTTCCACTTTGCTCCACAGCGCTCCCAAGGCCTGGGGCCAAGTCTCATGGATCTTGGACCCCACAGCTAGAACAGAGCCTGGGGAACATGCCACAGTGGGAATTACAGGGGGCACTGGACTGTCCACGTTCTAGAGAGAACTGCTGGGTGCACCAGGAGGAAAATGAAGGTCGGTGGTCCTGTGTGCACGACAATTATTCCCTACTTGGGAGACCCCCACTCCCTGACTTGCAAAGTCACAAAAAATGGCCTAAAGCTCAAGACGGCTTCTTGGGGCCAGAGGAAGTGGTTCTGCCGGGTCCACAGCCAAAAACATTGGAGAGCGGGTTGTGAAAGGCACTGAGGACACCAGACCTGGTGCTGGTGCCAAAGCCCCAAAGCTCCCTCAGGACGAGTCTAGAGCTCAGGAAGCAGCAGAGCTCTGGGGTAAGCTGCTACCAGTACCAAGAAGGGGAGTCAGAACAGCCCAGGGACAATTCTCGTATCTGAGGATTTGGGGAACCCTCCCAAGTTCCTCATGTCTGCTGATTTTATCATTTGTCTAATGATTAGCAGGTAAATGTTAGTTACTAAGTTTTCAGAGGCAGTGAACTTGGAAAGCACAACCCAGTCTAGCCAGTGAGAAACCCAGGGAAAGCCGGAACCCTTGGTGCAGGAGGGAGAAGAGCAGAGTCAAGGCAGAAGCTGGTCACGGTTTCAGCCTGCAGAGGCCCATGGCGTGTGTTCCCTGAGCAACGCGAGAGCTGCTTCCCACCAAGGGGGCAGGCCATAAAGACATTTAAAGTCCCCAGTCACATGGGACCTGTAAGGCCCCCGATCTTTCATGCCCACTAATGAGCCAACAATGGCCAGAAAAGTTCAGAAAGGTAATTTGAAAGACGCCGGATGCAGCTCTTACCTTCAGTTCTGCAACAAAAGTGTTGGCTCGGACAATGTCCAGGGTGGTCACCCCGAAGATTTTATCAGGGTTATATACTCCGTGCTTCTTGAAAACTTCTGCTGTGATTGGGATGGTGGAGTTAACCTAGTAAATCCAGGAGAGAGGCACAGTTTGCCTGCATTCTGAGAGCACAGCCAGGCAACAGAAGGAAAAGTCTTTTCGCCAGACCATTAACAAGCCCTAAGGTGTCACATTAAACCGGATGTTTGATAACCGACCCCCACAATGGCCGGAAGTCCCCCTACTCTACAAGAGTGCGTCTTTCTGTGCCACGGGAAAGAAGAAACCCTTCTCTGTGGCAGACGCTCTCCCCCTCGGTGGCCTCTGAGCCCAAAGTTCACAGACACACATGACCCTTCAACTAACAACTTAAAATGTGATGAAGGTTCCGAAACGGCACCTTCTGCTCCAACTGGGGCTTATGCCTGAAAGGCCATTCTTAAAAAAAGAAAAAGAAACAAACAAAAAAACAGTCAGCCTAGCACAGAGCTAAAAGCTCTAAGGGACCAGGGTCAAGTCCCAGCTCTGTCACTCTGCATTGTAACCATGGGCAAGTTACTAACTCCTGAGGACTCAGTTTCTTTATCTGTAAAATGGAGGTAACTATCTCATAAGGTTGTTGTGAAGAGTAAGACACTTAATATATGGCAAGCGCTTAACATATTACCTGGTGCATAGAAAGACTAAAACCAGACCAGAACAGCAAGCTTTACACGAGGTGCTGGTTAATCAGCTCCCCAGCAACTCCTGATCGTTGCCCCTGAGGAAGGGCAGGCTGGTTGGAAAAGGCAGGATCCTCTTCCCAGAGGCCACGGGCCCCACCTCTGGGTTCATCAGCAGCCACGTCCCTCAGTCAACATCATGTCACTGCACTTTCACCCACACCAATCTTGAATTCGGAGACCAGAGTCCCAATTCAAGCGGCGGGGAGGAACGCAGAGGGCCGCTGTCAGGTGCAACCCGAGGCCCTGCTGGGGCGGCTGTGGGAGCCACCGCCATCTTCTCAGGGGACACAGCACTCGGAGTTTCTGAACTGAAGAATGAGCTTCCTGCAGAAGCCAGCGAGCGAGGCCCGGGGCAGCCGTGTACAGGATTATGTGCATCAATGTGAGGAGAAAGGGGATGTCGGGCAGGCAGGAATCACAAACCCTGAGAGACGTATGGTAAAAGGAGTTAACAGGCACCAGACTCACGGCTGCAAGCAGCCTTAGGAATGGACTTATTTTCCAGGTGGAGAAACTAAGATATCAAGAGGGGAAATGATCTGCCCAAAGGCACATGGCTGATAGAAAAATCAGGTTAAAACTCACCTGGTCATGCCAGGGGGAATCCTTAGGAAATAAATTCAAGGGCCTCTTATTAGTTCACCCAATTTACCCATTTCAGCACATTAATCTGATTATTCTCCCTATAAGCACAGTAACATAGTCGGGCTAACTGTGAACTTCCATACGGTATCAGCAGCCACCTACCTGCCCGCGGCTGACACTCACCGGGTTTGAAATGATGCAGATCATGGCCTCGGGGCAGTGCTGGGCACAGGCAGCAGTCAGGGTGGCCACGATGGTGGCATTGGTGTTGAATAGGTCATCCCGGGTCATGCCTGAGAATGATCCAATTTAAGATGTTCACAAAGTACAGCCTGAAGTTTCTAAATACGTGCCAACTGCTGTGTGTGTTGTTCCAGGAAATTCAGACTTGAGTGAAACAGGGTCCCTGTTTTAAGTAAATCTGCCTTGTAGGGAAAATAGCCCAGTGTGCCAAGTGCCAAGACTGAGGTTTGTGGGGGTGGGGTGGGGGAAGGGGATGGGGGTGTAGCTCTGAGGAGGATCATCAGGACCAGCAAGACTTCCAAGGAGGAATGGGCACCCCATGCAGGAAAAGCACACACACAACACAGACTGGGCGAGGGAACACCATGACACATGGGGGGGCTTTATCTGTACCCCACAGGCACTGGGGAGCCTGTGGAATTTTTTCTGCAGCAGAGAAATCTGACCAGATCCATTTTTCATGGAAAATCATGCCCTCGTCTGACTTGCAGGGAGATGCTAGGCTAGGCTTTCAACACACACCTGGTTTTCTTGGGACTCCTGCCGGAATAACCACCACATCACAGCCCTTCAGGCAGTCTGGAAGCTGCTCAGGTCCGAGGTAGCCTGGAAAACATACCCACAAGAACAATTTCACTGCCTCTGACCCGGAAAGGCCAGTATGTCTGTGGGGACAGAGTCCGGATAGGACAGCCCGACCTGGGTCCAAGGTTGACCATAGGCCTCAAGACAGGCTGGAAGGCCCAGCCATGAAGGGGTTCCTCTCCTGGGGAACTGTCACTGTGGGTCTGATGACCCTGGCAGGCAGGAAGGGGCCCCTTTCATTATCCTTTCCTCCAGCCTCCACTGGCCCAGGCCCCAATTCAGAATGGAGCAACCCTGCAGGTTCCCACAAAACTACACCAAACTGGCTGCTTGTCTTTATCCTAATCACTAGCACCTAAGTCCTTCTTGGCTCCTGGTAAGAGCTGCTTATTCATTGCCACAATCATCCTAACAAATGTTGCATCTCGGGATCAGATCAGAAGGCACACTGGAGGCCAGGAAAGAACATCCCTGTGCTCTAAATATTAGCATTTATTTTGTTTACTTCTATCATCTGAGGGAAAAAAGGTCCAAAGATTTCAGGGAAATTGGCTCCAATGACCAAAGTCTGCTCTGATTTGCCTTTTCCCTTACTGCAGGAGCTTTTGGAAACTCAAACATAGTGTCCAGAAGAAAATGAGCAAACTAATTCAAAGGGACCATGGAAGGCACACAAACATGTGACCAGCTCAGTCTCACACACTATCAGTAGAGACAGAAAGCAGTACAAACTTTCTGCACAGCCATTTGATACTTTATAGGAAAAGCTTTAAAAGTGTCATACCCACTAATTCTACTTTCAGGACTCTTAAGAAACAAGAGGTAAAGATAAAGATGTTTTTCACAGCTTATATATTTATAGTAGAGCGAAACAGGAAACAGCCCAATGGTCAATAAACACACGATAAGTTACAGTACGTCTTTAAAAATGATTTTTACCAAGAATTTGGTGACAAGGAGAAATGTTGCTGTAATATGAAGGTAAAATAAGCAGGGTATATATAATTATATGTAATTATGCATGACTTCTTGGATAACATACCTATATTACCTACTTGGAAGGGCAGACTTCCCTAAGGTGGCCGTGCTTTGGAAAAGCTGTCAAAGTAACTCTGGGGTGGAGGGATGGCCCATGGCAGGAAGGAACTGGCGGTGCACCAGGGACAGCATTTCTTACTGTTCCACGTCCCTGTAGGAGATTCCCCCTCCCCCATCCTCATATTATCTTTTTTTTAGGGGGTGGTAGTGGTGATAATTAGGTTTGTTTACTTTTAATGGAGGTACTGGGGATTGAAACTAGGACCTTATGCATGCTAAGCGTGTGCTCTACCACTGAGCTATAACCGCCCTCCACATTACTTTTTAAACTAGAAAAAAGTTTTACACGGGAAGATTGGACCATTGTTGTTTTCCTGAAACTGCTATTTAAATTTTTCTGACACTGCTATTTAAATTTTTGGACTCAAGTCCAAAAAGGTGCAATAATTTACAAAATTTAATTCTAAAATGAACATGAAAACCCCAAGTCTCTTAACACCCAGTTTCATCTAAGACTCTCACTCTAAACCTGGACCTTGGTCTCCTGGGGAGAAGAGATGTAAGTTCTCTAGGGTCAGCGTGCTCAGTACCTTTCACAGTTGCCCTGGTCTCGATGTGGCTCAGATCCGCGGCCACTCCGGGGGTATGAGCAATATCGTAGAGGGTCAGGCGGCTCACCAGCGGGCTGTTCTTCAGGAGAAGTGAAAGGGGCTGCCCGATTCCTCCGGAAGCCCCTAGCACGGCTACTTTAGCATTATTCTAGAAAGAGGCACACAGAAAGGACTCTGGAGACAGAATCAGCATTGAAAAGACTCATGTGGTAACCTGCAGAATAGTGCACTGAGCCTCTTACTGCAGTGGTGCCAAATGAAGGTGCAATAGTATTTCAACCAACCCTAAGGCCCTTGTTTCCTTCTGAAGTTCAGAAGCTTGCCTTAAGAAAATGGGGGAGAACTCATGTCTCTAGATGCTGTGATAGTCAGGGTCCAAACTCACAAATAAGAAGGGGAGCCTATCCTGGCAAGCATGTGGGCAGCTGCCAGGGAAGGAGAAAACAAAAGGAGAAAAGAGCAGTCTGTTACAGTTTGTTTTTAAATTTCTATTTGTATTTTATATATTTTAATTCATACCGACAGGAATAAATACATTGAGATTGCATGGTCAACACATTCTTCCTGTTAAAGACAAAGGATCCAAAGTCTCTCTGGGCCCATGTACTATTTGGCTCAGGCTCATCTTTCTGACTTACACAACTGCATTCTCAACATCTCCACCCTTATGTCCAATAGGCATTTTAAACAACAGATTCAAATCTGAGCCCCTGACATCCCCGCCCCTGCCCAAACCCACTCTCCTGTAGCAGTCTCAAGACTGTTCAGCAAATCTCAACTCCAAAGCCCAAAGCCTTGGTGTCCTCCAAGCTCCTCTTTCTCTCACAACACCCTCTTCAAAGTAACGGTCAGCAAATCCCACTGTCTTACCTTCAGTTAGTTCCCTTCCTCTACTTCTCAGCGTCAACTTTCATCACCTCCACCTGTCCTAAGTTTATTCACTGTTGGCTTAAGTGCCATTTCTCACTCTTCTTTGTATTACCTGCAGCACCCAGCACAATCCTTGGCAAGCACGGATACTTAATGTACTTGTGTGTATATTTTATTTTTTTAATGAACTGAATGCACAGGAATCTTATCTGAAGGACAGAAGCTAAATGAGAAATGTGGAATCTCATTCAGTAACCACCTCCCCTTTGGATGTGGTACTTAAGAGGCCATGTGGGCATCTCCTGGGCTCTCAAATTTTGGTTGCAGTAGTCACTTGGGGCACTTGGTAAAAAATATAGAGGCCCAGGTCCTATCCGCCTCTGATCTTTAGCAGCTTTCAGGTGATTCTGACACACACCAGAGTTTGAGAATAGCTGCCCCAGAAGAAGATGGCTAAAAATAGCTTAAGCTTAAGCAGTCCCAGGCCAAGCCACCCACTATTATAACACCTGGGGGCAGGCCCAGCCGGCCCAGAGCAGAATGGATCCTTCAAAAAAGTCCTTAAGAGAAAACAGTGTCTTCAGTTTCTTAGAAGGAAGGCTTGATGATCCAAAAAAGTCACTAACAATGGTCAGGAAAGCTGAATTTTAAACCTCTGGCAAAATGACTGTGTAACCTTGGACCACTTCTCTACCCTCGGAATCTTGGTCTACACTATGGAGTTAAAAATTACACACTGTTTGTACAGATGCTGCAAGAAGAACGAGGTTAGTGTCAAAGTACTATGGAAAACAAGTTACTTTCGGCCCTAGAACCCTGGCTTTTCGACCCTGAAGGAGCACAGGTCAAGAGCAGGCCCTCTGGGAGACGAGCTGGGGGCTTGGAGAAGCGCACCGGTCCTGGAGCTGAACTACCTTCCCCTCTCTCTCCTGAGCTTTCTCCCCCGCACTTCCTGCCCAGTATCAGAGCCGGCCCGGGGGTCCGGGCTGCTCGCGAGCCAGGAACACACGTGGCTTAAGCCGGGGGACCTCGGCCTGCAGTCAGCCCCTTGCAGGGCCTACCTGGGCTGAGGTGCTGAAGCTGCGGCGGAGAGCGGCGCCGGCAGGCCGGGCGAGGGCGGAGAACATGGCTGGGGCGGGCGGGGAGCGGACCAGGCGGCGAAGGACCTGGCGGCGAGCAAGTGACTCCAACGACCTCCACACTGCGCAGGACCTCCCGGCTCTTCTCCGCCTGGTCTCGCGAGAGTGGCCCGGTTTCCGGCGCCGCTCTGCTCACATCTCGCGGTATCACGGCCACATCCGGGCTGTTGCGGAGACAGGCGAAGGGACGCTTTCCCAAGCGTAGGCTTTGGCTGGGTCGTGTTTCCTGCGGCCTGTAGGGGAGACGCGGTCGGAGTGGGAGGGAGAGTCAGCACCGGAGAGGTGGAAGAAGACAGGCTTTAGGCCTGAAGAGCCTTAGAGGAGCCATTTTGCAGGTGGGGCCCCATACAGAGGTTCTGACAGGAAGACCAGCCGAGGTCACGCCGCGGGCCTGACGGAGTGGGTGCGGTCCGAGCCCCTGAGCCAAACTCACCCCTCCTGCCCCTGGTGGCGGGAGGGGGCTCCGAGGTCTGGAAAGAAAAGGGGGAGGGAAGGTGGAGAGTCCCGGGGTGGGAAGATGGGGGCCCCTCTAATCAGTGACTCCCGTGCACCCCTGTGCTCTCGAGCGCACACATACACACACTGTCCGCCAGCCAGTGTCGTCCTCCAGGTGCCCAGGACCTTCCATTACAGCTTACAAAGCTTTAGAGACGCCCCTACCGAGAATGGCTGACCCTAAGCATTGACTTGGGCGCGAGACACTGTTCTTAAGAGTTTACAGGAAAGCAATCAAGCGTTACAGATGAGGAAACAGGTGATAACTTGTGAAGCTACCCAGTCCCTACTCTTCAGGCCTGCCCAGCAATTCTGTGAACATGGCCACATTGTTTCTGCTTTAGGGATGAAGAAACTGGCTCAGCTCAGTTAAGTGGACTTGTTCAGGGTCTACCCAGACAGAAAGTAATGGTTCCTACTCACAGGAAGCTTATTTAAATTTCTAAGTTAACTTTATCAGCTTATCGCTTCATTTCCACTCCCCTTCCCCCTATTTTCTGGCATACAGATAATTCCTTACCCTCAAAAAGTTCAGGGTCAAGTGGGGCAGATAGGGGTACTGCAGGTTGTTGCCTTGATGGAGGAGTGTACAGACCCAGTGGAGGGGGGTGACAAATAACAGCCTGCTTGAGAACCTGGTTGGGGAAGCAGGAGTGAAAAGACCAGTTAGCAAAAGTGCTGTAGGAGGGAGTGCATGATGACTGGCTTACTCTTTCCTTTCTCCTTCCCACTTGTTTATTGAACTACTAGGATGTGCTAGCCCAGTCTTGGAGCTGGGTACCCAACTGTGAACAAGATCCACACATTTTTCTGCCTTCATGGAGCTCAGAGTCTAGTGGGAGAGACAGGTAAATTGCAAGCAGCATGATATGACCAACACTAGGAGAACTATGAGGTGCTGTGGGAACACAGAGGAGGTCCATCTAACTTAGATTTGGGGTGGGGACTATGTGAGAAAGGACTTTGGAGGGTGAAATGCCTAAGGGGAGGTGTAAAGGAAGAGTAGGAGTTACTCAGTGGGACCGTTCAGCTCCACAGCCGGGAGAGGTCCTTGTCTGGGCATTGGAGCTCTCAAAGGAGGGGCACTAGGAGCTGGGCGTTTAACAGTGGGAGGTGTTCAGATGAGAAAGGAAGGGGAAAGAGCCCAGAGAAAAACCTGGAGGTGGAAAAATCCAGATCTGTATTCAGGGGACAGTGAACAGATAATTTCTGTTGGTGTGGAGACTTGAGGACAAACAGTGACCTTTATCTTATCATGGACTGTATTTTCTGGTTAATTATTTACCTCTCTATCTTAGCACTACAACTGAAAGCATTTTGTAGTCAGGTATGTCTTTCATCTCTATTGTCCAGCTGTTACGGAAATGATAGGCCAGCCAAGAAACAAGCACCACTCGGAGGGTTGGAGTACTCAGATGTATTACGCCGGCGGGCTCAGAGGGGCTTCTGCTCCGAAGCTCTGAGCACCTCCAAGACGTGTGCATGAGGTTTTATAGGGTTAATTACAAGCTTGGGGTACTCGGCCAATAGGCATGGAACAGCTTTAGCAGCATCATTATCACAAAAGTAGCGGCAGGGAGGCAGCAAACCAACATTTCAAGGCCAGATATGTCTCTTTGAAAATCCAGCTGGCTAGCAAAAAAAACATGAACAGGGAACCAGCAAACCAATACTAATTAACTTAGATTTATGAGTTAGCCCAGCAGGACTCAAATCAGTAATCTGACACTTGTTACACTTGGATTTGTGAGTTAGCTTGTTAGCCCAGCCCGGCTTTTCCTTCACACAGCATCTGACCAGGCTGAGAGTGGGCCTCTGAATTTTGAGAGAGTTGGGTGGTTCTAGATATGTCTGGAAAAACCAGGTTGTGCATGACCTATGAATGTTAGCTGAGAAGTTCGTGTTCTATTCCTTGGGAAGCAGATGTTTATCAAAGTTTTTATGATGCCACCGAAACTCTGAGGAAGATTAGACTGACCTTGACATGCTAAAGATCCCAAGGGAAAAATGCGCAGGGCAAGGAGATTGTTTAGGGGGCTGTCTTACGAGATGATAAAGATCTAAGTTATGGTGGTGGTTTTAGAAATGGAGAAAGTGGGGCCAGTGAGGGAGAGGGACAAATGGTAAGAGTTTGTGCGCATCTGGTTTTAAGAAATGAAAAGTGATGTGGGGAATCAGCCTGAGAGAAGTATCTTTGTACAGAAACAGGGAATTCAGGGGTTGTGTGGAAGGAGAGCTGGCTGGAGAAAAAGTAAAGCACTCTGTTTTAGATGGGCTAAATTGGAAGTGATGGTGAGTTGTCCACATAGAAATATCAGTGGGCACTTGGGAAATTACTCCAAGAGGAAATATGGGATTGAAACCGATGAGAGAGGCCAGGACTGAAGTCATCCCTGTAGAGGGGAGAGTTGAAGCCATAGGAGAGGAACTAGAATCAGATTCTCATGCTCACTCCCACGTGGGGCTGGAATTCCTCCCTATCCCTGCCAAGTCAGTCAGCCCCTGTCTGCATCTCCACTACAGGGAATCACTATCTCCTCTGCTCGGGCCATCCCAGCAACTTGACTGTTAGAAAAGTTTCCTCACATTCAACTGCTAGTTGCTTCCTTTTAAATCCCAGAATGTTCTATAACAGTCTTAACAGCTACTGTACTAAGCATTGACTTTGTACCAGGCACTGTGCCCTGCTTTGCAAGTGTAATTGTTACACTGAACATGCCCAGCCTCATTCAGGAAGCCTAGTGCAGTCAGAAAATAGCTTTATGTCTTCATCCCCACTCTTCCTTTAAACCTTTGCTTGTCCTTGGATTACATCTAGTCACCAGGACAGACTTGTAATAGCCTGAATGTCCAATTCACATTAGTAGTCAAAACTCTGAACTTGATTCAATGTTAAAACTTGTCTCCTTCTACCCTTGAGCTTGCTTCAGGCTCCCACCTTTGGAGAGGAGAGTGATTGACTGCTCCATTCCTCCATCTTACTTCCTCACCACCCTTCATCCCTGCAGACTGAGGCTTCAGACCCATTAGTGTTGGTGGAGGGGGGTTGTAAGAATATAGGGGCAGGAAAGGTCCCTTTGTCATTTGGCATCAGTATTATCTGAGCTTGACAGGAGTTTGTAGCTGACACTTCCATGTGGTGCTTTTGTGGGTCTCTCTTACCTGTAGTTCCCTTGACCTAGGTGTTTACACCTCAGTCTTGCTGTTTCCAGGTGCTCTTTCAGCCCTCATTTTCTGGTTTCCCCCACTACCTGCATTTGGTCCAGGGTCCGTCCAAGTGGTCCTCTTGGGCAGAGTGCCTTTAAGATGGCTTCTAGCTGGCCCTCTTTACTGTGTGGCCCACATCTGGTCTACAGGAAACACATACATATCTTTTTCCCCAACAAATTCTAGGGGTGTAGGCCATTTCAAATGCAGCTGCCTCTCCTTGCTAACTGCTAGTTAGCCTCAGACTTTTCCTTAGACTTTCATTGGGGCCCACCACCAGCCTGTATGCCTGCACAAGCTTCAGAGGACACAGGCCAAGCTATTCTAGGGGTTTTCTTTCTTGTTTCATGAACTGTTCAAGAAAGCTGAGGCTTGTGAAATGTTTGAAATCATAGAGAAAGATGCTAATGGAGGTAAAGAGTTTTGAGATGCTAAAAGTAGAGAGAAGGATTAGGTGGGAGAAGATGAGGTCAGAGGATGCCTATCCCTCTGGTACGGGGAAGAAACTTGAAGGGCACCTAGGGAGTAGTTGGTAGGGCAGGGCTCTTTGCATCCAGTGGCCTTAACCTTTCTCGGCAAGAACTAGTAAATGAGAGAAGTTGCTTCAAGGTGAGGAGGTTTGGATAACAGCTGTAGCCATTGGGGAAATGCTGCGCAAATAAGGGACGATGAGAAAGGATTAGCTGGCGGCTGTCGGGGCCAAGCTAAAGTTCTGCGGAGTGTACTTTCTATGTGCCCAGGTTCATGTGTCTCAAAGCCCAAACCCCACGCCAAGTTCATGGACGTACAGGTGGGGCCATACACACAGCCTTGCATCCCCCTGCACATCTGCATGTTCACATCCTTGACCACATAAGCACATGGTTCTACACAGGGGACTTGAAAAATATTATTGCCATATAGTTTACGTACAGTAGAGTATACAGCTCTCAAACGTGCAGTTGGATGTTTTTGAGTTTATACCCTTGTAACCACCACCCAAAACAAGCTATAGAAACATTTTCATTATTCCAGAAAGTTCCCTTATGCCCCAGTCCCCCAAACAGCTACTTCTTGATTTCTATCACCATACATGAATTTTGCTATTTCTTCACTGTATGTATTTTATACGCAATATACTAATTCATTGATACCCTCTTTGCCACACTGCCACACAAGCCGCACACATGCATGTATACGGACCATTTTGTTCCTTACAATAGGCTTAAACCGCAGTCAGGGGCTATCAGATTTTTGCTCTTAGGTGCACATATTATATACTAACCTACCTTCTCTTCAACCCTAAAATCGTACCCTTTCAGATCCTTGGAGCTAAAGTGAAGAATTAGAAAGGTGGTTGTCCTCCCACCTGCATGGGAGTTTTCTGTATTTTCCTCTAGGTACATTAGAATATTGGAAAATGTACAGTGTATTTTAAAACACACCTCTGTTTACATATATAGTTTAACTTTTTGCTGCGGCCCATACCTGCTGGAAGTTGAAGGATTTGGCTTTCCAAGATACATACCAGCAGAGCAACTAGGAGGCGGTGGACAGTGACAGCAGAGGCAGCAAGAAGCTGCTGGCAAGGTGCTCTCAAGAGCTGAGAGTTCCCGACGGTGACAGATCTGTCAGGAGCAGAGCCTTCAGTCCTCCAGACCAGCCAGGGGTCAGGGAAGTGAGTGCAAAGCTGGTCAGGTGCAAGAACCCGTGTCAGGAGCAGAAGGTGGGGCATAAGCCCAGTCGAGAAGAGGAGGAGCCAGTGCCAGAGACGGAGTCAGAGGAGGTGAGACCAGACGTGGTGGCTACACAGCCTTTGTGTAGCAGTTTGCCAGCCCCTACCTCTGACAGTGAATTGCTGCCTGGGTAGGCCTGTCACCCTCCCGGGGCCACTAGGGTACTTCTCCAGGGTGTAGTGGGTGTAGGTTTGGGGACATGGGAATGAAGGCAAAATAGAAGATGAGGGACAGGGATGTGGTGGCTGGGTCTGTGCCTCTGGCCCATACCTGTTCCTTCCAAAATACAGAAATACCGGCAATCACTGGCAATAGGACCTGGTGCTCCTCTGAACTGAGAGATTTCAGGACCACTTCTGAAGCCTCTGCAACTGTGGGGTGCTGCCACCCAGGACTGTGTCCCTTAGTTTTGTCAAGATTTGGGCCACAAGGAAGGTGTCTGGCTGGGATCAAAGAAAGATTGTATCGGATCCCATAGGAGCCTGACCGTCAGGCAGCATCATAGGCTCCCCTCCTCTTATAAACTTGGCCAGCTCCCACTCTGGTCTTGGCCTGAGATTCTCTGAATCTCTTGTCTACTGGACTTGTAGCTATCAGAGGTTCCTGGTTGAGGATGAAAAGAGAGAGAAGTTAGGAGTAAAGGATCTTGTGTTTCTAAGCTCTTGCTCTATACCAGGCTCAGGTCTGAGCAATTTATGTTGATTATCTCAACATTACCTTCCTATAGCCTTTCCAAAGTGTAGTATTGCCTCAGTTTACAGGTGAGGGCATTGCTGCCTATCGCTGTATTTAAGCCTTGGTCATCCTAGCACAACCTCAGTTTCCCACAGGGAACCTGGGCATAGTGGGGTTGGCTGTGGACCCCATCTCATATCTGTGTAGTCTTCTGGTCCCTGCTTAGCCTGAGCCAGGAGCACAAAGTGAAGGTTGCAGTCTGGCTTCTCCAGGAGCATTGAGTGATGCTTCCTTTCCACCAGAGGCAAATGTCCATCAGTTGTGTCCACCTGTCTGGGGCTGAACCAGACCAAACTCTCAGTATCCTAGAATGCCTGTGAGAAGGATGGGGTCGGGCCCAGTCTCTGACAGTGATGCTATCAGTCAAAATGGAAAGTCCCAGGCATTGGGCAAGCACAGGGAGGCAAGAAGGCCTGGATCTGGCCAGTTTCCCCTTAGTCTCAGGCTATGACAGCTCCTAATGAAACATCCCTTCTCAGTCAGCTGTTTTCCCAAAATGGTGGTGGGCATTTTCGCTGGAGCTGAGCTTGCCAGCACAGCTGTGTCTGGACTGAGAGGGAGAGAGAGCCCCACACAAGTCCCCTGGTTTGAAGTTCAGGCCAGGTCATCACAGGGAGGGTGAAGAAACTTCCTGCTGGTGGGCATCTAGTGTGCCGAGACAAGGCCTGGGCTGGCATCCTGCTGCTGACAGTAGGTGCCTCCTTGCCATCCAGAAAGCTGTGTGGATATCCCAGCTGCATCAGCTTATAGGAGAATTGGTCTCTTTCTCACTCCATGAAGCCAGAGCCCCAGAAGGTGCTCCCTCTGACCTCTCTTTCTACAACCTGCCTCATCACCCTTGCAAAAACGATCACACTAAATGCCCTGAAAGTCTCTTAAAAGCTGTGCTGTGCTAAAAGAGCCTAGAGGGTGATGGCTGAAACTTGGCATTTTGACTCCACTGTTTTGAATAGTTCACCAGGAAAATGAGACTTGGTAGCAATAATCAATATAATGAAACTCACAGCGGCAGAAACTATATTTGGTAAAGTCTGATGCAACAAAAATCTGATGAATGAGTCAAATCTTTATTGTACAAATTCACAGGGAAAAAAGATGATCTTGGGGAAAAATAATTTTGAAACAAAACTGAAGATGAAATTGGAATTGGTTAACTGAAATACAGAAAATCGATTAAGGAGTTAAATTGGCTTAATGGAATTCCTCTAAGGAAAATACTTTTGGCAAAACCTCATCAATATTCACTTAATGGTTCCATGTAAAAGCTCAGTATCAAAATATTTGGGGGGGCCCAAACTGTTGAGCCAAGAATATCTTACACCCTTCAGAATTTGGAGCAGCCCTGAGAGATGTTATCTGTGTCCAGCCCTCCACCCATCCGGGCTAGTGATGCCTCTTGTCTCAGCTCACAGGGATCTTCTCAGAAATGTGCTGTTAGATTCGGGACTGCCTTCACCCCCCTGCACTTTACCAGCAGGCAAGGGGCAGTTCTTGCTTGACAAGACAGAGTGCCTCCTTTGGGAAGGAGAGAAGTCTGAAGGAGTTCATCACTGGGGCTGGGCTGGGCTTTTCCTGAAGGCCCAGAGACAACCCCTCTGCTAGTGAGTGAATAGATGGAAGTTGTAATGGGGAGAAGTAGTTGGGAGTGTGAGGATGGGCTCTAAGCGATAGACCAGACAGGTTACGAGCCAGTTTTTAGGTTGGTTTAACAAAGTTATAGGGTGAGACACAGAGCCCATCCTGCCTGCCCTATGCTCACCACCTTCAAAATGGCCTGAGATCAGGACTTTCAGAGGCAGAAGACCTGGGGGTGCAAGAGGGGAGATCCTGAGGCGGAATCTACATGTGGCATCTCTATATGTAGCATCAGGTCAGGATGACCCCATTGGTGAAGGCAGGAATGGTGACTAGTCATAATTTATTCCTTCAACACGTGCTTATTGAGCACTGTTCTGCACCCTGGGCACTGGGTGAGGACACAGTGAACAAGAAGGGCAAGGTCTCCACCTTTATGAGTCATACATTCCACTGTGATGAGACTGATGATGAACCAAGCAAACAAATTAGTGTGATAATGCAGATGAAGACAAACTCATATTTTGCAAAGATCACCTTGACTGCCATGTGAAAATTAAGACTGTTAGGGAGAAAGCAAGAAGCAGGAAGCCCAGTTGGGAAGTATTGCATCCTCAGGAGAGAGATGCTAGTACCTTTGGTCTAGGATGTTAACCCTGGAGATGGAGAGAAGTGGATGGATTTGGAATGTATTTAGGTAGTAGAGCTGATAGATTGGCTGTGAGGGGCTGAGGGCAAGAGGGGTTAGGGATGTGACCCAAGTAACTAGGTGGATAACGGTGATGTTCATTGAGACTGGGAAGACTAAAAGACAAGCAGATCTTGGAGATGTGGGCATATGTAATTTAAACATTCGTTTTTGGCCATATTATATTTGGGATGCCCATCAGGCATCCAAGTGGAGGCTGGAGCTCAGTGGAGGGGTTAAGTAGGGGCTACAGTTTAGGAGTCATTAGTATACAAGGGGTATTCAAGGGACTAGATGAGTCCTCTATAAGGTAGGGCTTACAGTGGTGGTTCTCAGCTAATGGTAACTTTGCCCCTCTTCCTGGGCGACATTTGGCAAAGTCTGGGAAATTTTTGGTTATTATAATTGGAGGCGGGGCTTTGCTCCTGGCGTCTACTGGGTGGAGGCCAGGGATCCTGCTAAACATCCTATAATGCACAGGTCAGCCCCCACAACAAAGAATTATCTGGCCCCAAATGTCAGTGGTGCTGAGGTTGAGAAGCTTTGTCCTAGGGTGCGAACAGACAGTAAAATTAGATGATGGTGCCTAAGGGCATTCTCATGGGGAGAGAGAGAGCAGGAATTATCTGAATGGTAGGAGGGAACCCTGGAGAGTGGGGTGTCCTGGGAGTGGAGAGTTGTTTGGGAGGGAGGAGTGCTCCACTGGGTTAAGTGCTGCTGAGGTGCCATGTTTGAGCACAGAGAGAAATGACTACTGGGTTAGGCAAGATGGGTATTGCTGATGACCTTGATAAGAGCAGTTTCTGTGGTTTGCTGGGGTTAGAAGTTCCAGGGGAGAAGGTTGTGCCAATAGCCAACACTTAGCGAACACTTCTTCCCTGCTCAGAATGTCTTACGTGTGTAATTGCTTTAGTCCACACACAACAGGTACTATTATCCTTGTTTTACAGAGATGGCAATACTTTTTTACCCCCATTTTACAGAAGTGGAAACTGAGGCAAGGAGAGATAATTATTCCCCAAGGTAAGGCAGCCAACAGAGAGTGACACAGTAGGAATTTGGACCTAGAGAGTCTGGAGGTGAGAAAGTGGAGGCAGTGAGTCAACACTACCCTTTTGAGACATCCTGGCTGTTAAGGAGAACAGACAAGTACAGAGAATGTGTGCTGTTAGGAATGGTTTATGTGGAGACCGAAACAGATGATGCTGGAGGAAGGATCCAGGGCTCAGGTTGAGGGGTAGCCTTTCTGGGGAGTACTGGTAATTCTGAAGTGGACTCTGTTTTGAGCAAGATTATGTCTGGACCTGACTGGCCTTCAGAGGTCTGCTAGCTGCGCCTTGTGGCCCCCACCTTATCTCAAAGGTAGCCCCCTTGCAGGAAGCTGCTGCACAGACCCAGCTTTCCTCCTTCCGTGTCCACGAGGCACCAGAGACAGTTGTCCCCAGAAACCTGTGTCCCAAAGGCAGCCCTGCAATCAGGAGCCAGAGCCCAGGCTGGGCAGTTCTGTCAATACAAGTGAATGATTCTCTGCCTTCCATGAACCGTCATGATCTTTACCATAAGCTTACAAGGCCCTTCACAAGGGGTCCTGCATTGGCCTCCCTGGGGTCTTCACTCATCACTCTCTCCCCTCTGTCACCACACCAGGCTCCTTTTGAAATCTCTCAGGTACTGAGTTCCCTCCTCCTCTCAGGAATGTTCTTACTTCCTTCATCCTCGCTCTCTCCTCCACCTGCCTAAGTCTTGCCTAACCTCCTGTCTCAGCTTAGCAATCGCATCTTGTCAGCCCTTCTCTGATCCCCGCAGCTAGGTGGGACCCTCCTGTTAGCCCCTCCTATGACACGGGATGCTGACTCTTGGAATACATTTTCTACGTATTTTTATGTATGATGTATTTTTTGGTCCAACATCTGCATTCCATGCTAAACTGTAATCTTCACAAGGTTAGGTCTAGCTTACCACAGTTATTTCCAGTGCCTGGCATACAGTAGGTGGTCAGTAATTTTCTGCTGAAGGAAGAAATGAATTGGTGACTATTTTACAGCCTGCTTTGTATTTGTATGGTTCATATATGTTGTATGCAATGTTTATCTCCCCTGCACACATATCACTATACAGTTTTGAATTTCCCTGATTACTTTCATCCTTATTTGAAGGCATGTTAGGGAAGAGTTTAATTATCTTACTTTGTGGTCATTCATCTAAGATAAAAAGATGTACAAAGCTTTCACGTTATTACTGATTCTTCCCCATAGGATGACTGGTTTGGTTTTGTGTGAACCAACAGAGCTTTACAACATCCTGAATCAGGTCACAAAACTATCCAGATTAACCGAACCCAACTATCTCTGTTTATTGGGTAAGTACATAAAAAAATATTGTGAACAGTGTCCTTCAAAGATTATTTTTGATGAATCAACAAACTTTGGTGGGGGGCAATAAATTAGTTTAGAAAACTGTTAAACTCATCAGGCATAGCTTAGATGCTGCTATTAATTGTAACATGACTTGGAATATTACCAGATTAAATAAATCTAGAGGAGAAGTTCCTGGAAGACTAATGTTTGAGTCCTCTTGTTAATTGCTTTTAGTGAAATATTTTAAACATCCAACAAACATATAGTAATAGACAAAACACTGAAGTACCCACCATTTAGATTTAACATAATAAATAAAAAGTTAAATGCACAGATGTACCTCCCTTTTGTACCCCATCCTGATCCTATTCCTTTCCCTCCCCAAAGATGACTGCTTCTGTATATTTGCACTTTTACTACATCTGTAGGCGTCCCAAAATAATACATGGTTCAAACATTTACACAAATAGTACCATAATGTACAGTGATTCTGCAGCTTGCTTTTTTTGTTTGCTTAAAATTGCATTTTTGTTGTTTCCCTTATGTCTAAATATGAAGATCTAAAAAAAAATGAAGATCTAGTTTATTTTAGCTGTTCATTGCAATACATATCCATTTCTAATTGTGTTGCATTGTGTCGCTGTTATGAACAGTGCTGCAGTGAACAGTATTGTATATCTCTCCCTATTCGTGTGCAAGAGTTTCTTCAGGATATACATCCAGAAATGAAATTGCCGAGCTGCAAATTCAGCCTCACTACATTATTGTCAAATTGCCCCCCAAAGACAGTGTATCAATTTATCCTCCGATCAGCAGTTTGGAAAACATACCTATGAATACCTGGTTTTGTCAGTGTTTAATTTTTTGCTGTCTGACTGATGTGAACTTGTATTACGATGTTTTTCTCCACAATTTAAAAAATTATGATAAAATACATATGAAATTTACCATCTTAACTACTTTTAAATGTGCAGTTCGGTGGTACATTGCCACCATCATCTCTACAGCTCTTTTCATCTTGTGAATCTGAAACTCTATACTCATTAAATAAATCCCCATTCCCTCCTTCTTGCAACCCTGGCACCACCATTCTACTTTCTGTCTCTATGATTTTGTCTACTCCAGGCGCCTCATATAAGTGGAATCATAGAGTATTTGTGTTTTTTGTGACTGGCATATTTCATGTAGCATGATGTCCTCCAGGTTCATCAGTGTTATAGTTTGTGTCCAGATTTCTTTCTTTTTTTTTAAGACTGGATAATATTCCATTGTATGTTTATACCACATTTTGCTTATCCATTCATCTGTTGATTGACACTTGGGTTTCTTCCACCTTTTAGCTGTTGTGAATAATGCTGCTATGAACAGGGATGTACAGAATATCTCTGAGGCCCCGCTTTCAATTCTTTTATGTAGGTACCCAGAAGTGAAATTGCTGGATCATGTGGCAATTTTATTTTTAATCTTTCAAGGAACCACCATTGTGTTTTCCATAGCAGCTGTACCATTTAACATTCCTACCAGTAGTGCACAAGGGTTCTAATTTCTCCACATCCTTGTCAACATCATTATTTTCTGGGTTTTTATTATTTTTTTTATAGTAACCATCCTAATGGGTTTGAGGTGGTATCTCATTATAGTTTTGACTTGCATTTCCCTAATGATTAGTGGTATTGACATCTTTTCATGTGCTTATTGGCTATTTGTGTATCTTCTTTGGAGAAATGTCTATTCAAGTTCTTTGCTCGTTTTTGAATGGCGTTGTTGTTTTATTGTTGCTGTTGAGTTTTAGGAGTTCTCTGTGTATTCTGGGTATTAATCCCTTATCAGATGTATGACTTGTAAATAATTTCTCCCCTTATTTGGTTTCCTCTTTACTCTGTTGGTATTGTCTTTTGATGTGCAACATTTACAATTTTTTCACAAAGTTCAATTTGTCCCTTCTTTTGTTGCTTATGTCTTTGGTGTTACAACCAGGAAATCTTTGCCAAATCCAGTGTCATGAAGCTTTTGCCTTATGTTATCTTCCATGATTTTTATACTTTTAGGCCTTATATTTAGGTCCTTGATCCATTCTGAGTGGATTTTTGTATGTGGTATTTAGATAAGGGCCCAACTGCATTATTTTACATGTGGATATTCAGTTTTCCCAGCACCATTGGAAAGACTGTCTTGTTCATGGTTATTTGAGAGTCCATATGAATTTTGTATAGATTTTTATATTTCTACAAAAAACGTTATTGGGATATTGATGGGATTTCATTGAATCTGTAGATTGCTTTGTGTAGTATTGACATCTTAACAATATTAAGTTTTCCAACTTGTGAACAGAATGTTTTTTTGTATATTTGCTTCTAATTCTTTCAGCAACATTTTGCAGTTTTCAGAGTACAAGTCTTTTACTTCCTTGGTTAAATTTTATTCTCACGTATTTTTATTCTTTTTGATGCTATTGAAAATGGAATTGTTAATTTCCTTTTCAGATTGTTCATCGCTAGTGTATAGAAATAACAAATGACCCTTGAGCAATGGGGGGTTCACCCATTTATGACTTAGAGTGAGCTCTGTGTATCTGTGGTTCCCCCACGTTCATGGATTCAGCCAACCATAGACCATGTAGCACTGTAGTGTTTACTATTGAAAAATATCTGCATGTAAGTGGACCCCCACAGTTCAAATTCATGTTCAAGGGTCAATTGTACAACTGATTTTTGTGTATTGACTTTGTATCCTGCAGGTTTGCTGAATTCATTTATCAGTTCTAACAGTTTTTTTAACTGAATCTTTAGGATTTTTTATGTATAAGATCATGTTTTCTGCAAGCTTAGATGATTTTACTTCTTCCTCTCCAGTTTAGATGCCCTTTGTTTCTTTTTCTTATTTAATTGTAATGTGGGACTTCCACCACTCCACTGAATAGAGGTGGTGAAACTGGGTATCCTTGTCTTGTTTCGTAAGGAAAAGCTTTCAGTCTTTCACCATTGAGTATAATGTTTGCTGTGGGTATTTCATGCTTGGTTTTTTGTTTTGTTTTGTTTTATTTTAATTGAAGTATAGTCAAGTTTACAATGTTGTGTCAATTTCTGGTGTACAGCATAATGTTTCACATACGTGGTTTTTTTTATGTTCAGGTAATTTCTTTCTATTCCTAGTTTGTCAAGTATTTTTATCCTGAAAGGGTGTTGAATTTTTTCATACTTTTTCTGCATTGATTGAGATAATCATGTATTTTTCCCCCCTTCATTCTTGAACCATTCTTGCCTTCCAGGAATAAATCCCACTTGATCATGGTGTGTAATCCTTTTAATATGTTGCTGAATTTGGTTTGCTAGCATTTTGCTGAGAGTTTTTGCATCACTGTTTTATAAGGGATATTGATCTGTAGTTTTCTTGTATCTTTGTCTGACTTTTGGCATCATGGTTGTGCAGATCTCATAGAATGAGTAAAAAAGTGTTCCCTTCTCTTCAGATTTTTTTGGGAAATGTTTGAAAAGGATTGATACTAATTCTTCTTTAAATGTTAGGTAGAATTCACCAGTGAATCCAGGTCATGAATTTCAAGAGGTTTGTCATCATTTTTTAAGACAATAAATGATACACTGAATTCTAAAGTGTTATATTCTCAAGGAGTGATGGATGAGATCCTTTCCTGAGAGCAGCTGTTTGTTAGATAGATATGGGAAAGGCCCTTTCAGGGTAATGGGTCACGGAGGCTATAGACAAGGGAAAAGCCTCAGTGCATATATTGTATTTGGCTTCTTTTTTTAAATTGAAGTATAGCTGATTTACAATGTTGTGTTAATTTCTGGTGAACTGCACAGTGATTCATATATATATTCCTTTTCATACTCTTTCATTATAGGCCATTACAAGGTATTGAATATAGTTCCCTGGGCTATACAGTAGGACCTTGTTGTTTATGTATTGTATTTGGCTTATAATTCTGCTTTGCATTCACTCTGCCAGTAGCAGAGTACATATGTGAATTATAGTAATATGGAATATAGTTTAAACCCTTTTCTATGAATATACACGCTGTAAAGATCCAGTTTTATAATTAGAGTGTTAGTATGGTCTGTGCAGAGATTTTCTTCATCAGGAGCTTTTTGATTACTGATTCAGTCTTCTAACTAGTTATAGGTCTACTCAGGTTTTCTATTTTTTCATGATTTAGTGTTGGTAGGTTTTGTGTTTCTAGAAATTTGTCCATATTATCTGGGTTATCCAATTTGTTGGCATATAATTGTTCATAGTACTTTCTTAAAATCCTTTTTGTTTCTGTAGTATTGGTAGTGATGTCCTCATTTTCATTTCTGATTTTAGTAATTTGAGCCTTTTTTTCCTTAGTACATCTAGCTAAAGTTGGTCATATTTATCTTTTCAAATAACCAACTTCTGGTTTGGCTTCATTGATTTTTTTTTCTCTATTGTTTTTCAGTTATCTATTACATTTATTTCTGCTCTAATACTTTATTATTTCCTTCCTTCTGCTAGCTTTTGGCTTAGCTTGTTAGCTTTTTAAAAATTTTTTTAAGTCCTTAAGTTGTAAAGTTAGCTTGTTGATTGGAGATCTTATTTTTTAATATAAACATTTATAACTTATAATTTCCTCCTTAGCATTGTTTTCCTTCGGTTTCATAAGTTTTAGTATCTTGTTTTCATTTCCATTTGTCTCTTAAGTATTTCCTAAGCTCCTTCATGATTTCTTATTTGATCTGTTGGTTCTTTAAGAGTGTGTTGTTTAACTTCCACAAATTTCTGAATTTTCCAGTTTTACTTATGTAATTGACTTCTAAATTCATCTTGTTGTGGTCAGAGAAAGTACTTTGTATGATATCTGTCTTTTAAAATCTAGTGAGACTTAATTTCTGTCCTAGCATGTGGCCTATCCTGGAAAATGTCCCATATGCACTTGAGAAGATGTGTATTTTGTTGTTGTTGGATAGAATGTTCTGTATACATGTTGTATCTACTTTGTCTATTGTGTTGTTTAAGCCCTCTAGTTCCTTGCTTCTGTCTGGTTCTTCTAGACATTACTGTGAATGAGATATTGAAGTGGGATATTTAGCTGTGTGTTTTCTATATGCCTTATAGCTTTTTTTGTGCTTCATTTCCTGCATTACTGTCATTTTTTATGTTTAGTTGATTTTTTGATAGTGAAATGTTTAAATTCCCATTTCCTTTTGTGTATATTCTATAGCTATGTTCTTTGTGGTTACCATGGGGATTACATTTAACATCCTAAAGTTATAAAACTCTTATTTTAATTTATACCAGCTTAACTTCAATAGCAAACAAAAGCTCTTCTCCTTTATAGCTCCTTCCCCATTCCTTTCAGTTGTTCATGTCACAAAATTACTTCTTATATATTCTATGCTCAAAAACATAAACTAAAAATTCTTTTAAATGCATTGATCTCTTAAGTTATGTAGAAAACAAAATGTATGGCTACAAACCGAAGTTACAATATACTAGCTTTTAGATTTATAATTAATTAAAAATGTATCAGTCTCTTAAATCATGTAAAAAAACAAAAAGTGGAGTTACAAACTGTTGTCACAATAATGCCAGCTTTTATAGTTCCCCACGGATTTACCTTTGAGATCTTTCTTTCTTTACACAGTTTCATATTACTCTGGAGTGCTTTCACTTCACCCTGCAGGATTACCTTGAGCATTTCCTGCAGAGCAGGTCTACTTCTGACAGACTCCCTCAGCTTTTGTTGATATGGTAGTGTCTTAATTTCACCCTCACTTTTGAAGGACTGTTTTGCCAGATAAAGGATTCCTGTTGATAATGTTTTTTCTTTTAATACTTTAATATATCAGGCCTCTGCCTTCTGACCTTCAAAGTGGCTGGTGAGAAATCTGCTGATCATCTTTTTGAGGAGTGCTTGTGTGTGCGTGTGTGTCGTTGCTTCTCTTTTGCTTTCAGGATTCTCTCTTTGTCTTTGTTTTTGAAAGTTTAATTATAATGTGTCTTGGTGTGGGTCTCTTTGAATTCTCACAGGTTGCTTATGTATCGTTCATATTTCTTCAGTCTTTTTATCTTTTTATTCTTTGAGCGAAATGATTTCCATTGTCCTATCTTCAAGTTTGCTGATTCTTCTACCTCCTCAAATCTGCCTTTGAATTCCTCTAGTCAGTTATTCATCTCAGTTATTATACTTTTCAGGTCCAGAATTTCTTTTTGGTTTCTTTTTAGGTGTTATATCTTTACTGATATTTCCATTTTGTTCGTACATAATTTTCTAGACTTTCTCTATATGTTCTTTTAGTTCTTTGAGATCTTAAAGACGGTTGTTTTAAAGTCTTTGTGTAGATCTGCCATCAGATCTTTTTCAGGGAGTTTCTGTCCATTAATTTTTTGAATGGGGCATACTTTCTTGTTTCTTCATGTGCCTTGTGACTTTGTTGTGGTTGTTGTTGAGTACTGGACATTTGAATTTAACAGCGCGGTGACTCTGAAAATCAGATTACCCTCCTTCCCCTGGATTTGCTGGTTATTGTTATTGTTTACTGTTTTTTGTCTTTTTGATTGTTGTAGGCTGTCTCTGTGCCCAGATCTCTGTGCCCAGGGATGTAAACTTAAGGTCTTCTCAGGTCTTTTACAAATTTGTGCCTTTAGCACACTAGCTTTAAGTTTTTCTGAGAAGGAAATTTTCTTCCCCAGCTTTTCAGTCCAGAACTGATATTCATACTATAGGCAAGGTATTCCCTCCATAGTCAGACTTTGTGGAGGCATGTGATGAGGTTGACTTGGGTTGAAATTTGTGTCTGCACTCAAATGCAAAATAGTCCCCAAAGTTAAAGACCACATGACTTTAGAAACAACTCTGAAAAATAAGATGTCCTTCTTAGAAGACTAGAGCCAAGCATCCAGTCTTCTTTTTATTAAAAACCTTATGGAAAAATAATGTAATGCCTTGTGAATTACAACTCAATTAAAAAAAAAAAGTAGCCCTGAAAGGAAGAAGCAGCTCTGAAAAAGAAGAAAAAAATGTCCCATTCGTGCACTACTCAGAACACACACCATTATTATATAACTTGCTCCTCGTGTCTGGAGAGAATCTTTTGCTTCTTTAAATCCAAGCTCATACTGGTCGCTGTACAACAGGCCAGTAAATCAAGGAGACATGGTGTTGAGTCAAAGAATAGTGGCTTTATTTGGAAAGCCAACAGATGGCGAAGATAGTGGACTAGTGTCACAAAGAACTGTCTGAATCGAGTTAGAATTCAGGCCCCTTTTATTAATAAAAGGGGTGGGGGTTGTAGCTGGTTGTTGCAAACTTCTTGGTACTGGCCAGACCCCAGAGGGAATGTGATAATCCTTTATTCTGGCAGCTTTCCAAGTAGGTCTGGTCACAGTGTTCCTGTAAACCTCCAACAGGACAAATGTTATACCTTTAAAGTTCAAGCCTGGGAGTCAGAGCCTTGACAAAGGGCTAGTATGTATATTTCAGTCTACAGGCAACATTCCTTTACAAAGGTGCAGAGCTAGCAAGACTAAGCACAGGCAACAGAGCACAAAGGTTAGAGATAAAAGAATAGATCCAATATGGAGTCAGCTTTGTTCTCCTCTGTTATAGTGATAGTGAACATTTTGTCTTGTTTCACACTTTATCAATCAGTATGATGTTTGCTGTAGATATTTAGTAATTTACCCATCAGGTTAAGGAAGTTATCATATATACCTATCTTACTAAGGTAAGTTACTTACTTACTCTTAAAATACAGTTACCTTCAGATGTCTGGAGTTTTTGCGCCTCATTGATTTATGAGTTCTTAGTAAATTCTGGAGCCTAACTTTGTTTCAACTTGCATTTCCTTGATGATATATAATATGGAGCATCTTTTCGTACGCTTATTTGCCATCTGTTTATCTTCTTTGATATGATGTGTCTGTTCAAATCTTTTGCCCATTTTTAAATTGGGTTGGTTGTTTTCTTGTAGAATTTTAAGAATTCTTTGTATATTTTGGATAACAGTTCTTTTTAAGATTTATGCAGAACAGTCCTTTTTAGGATTTAGCTTCTGTGTTCTTCCCAGCGTTGAGGACATCAATACCACTTCCTCTGTCCTGGCAAGGGCATTAGAACCTCAACTCCTAAGTTCTAAAATTTGGGTCTAAAATTCCATGGGGCATGTAATATGAGGCCACTCTGGCTTTGATTTCTCCCCTCCCTGCTTTTTTGGACGTCTGAGAGAACTCCCCCTAAATCACAGATACGAAGTCTCACTCTTCCTCAAAGGAATGTGTGGGTGTGGGTGTGATGGGGCAGAGGAGTTGTGCGGACAGCCTAGAATAGTAAAACAACATGCCTGGAATTTTAAACTGACAGCAGCTGTTGGACAACTGCCAAACAGATGCACGTTAATGCTGGTGTAAGCACTCTGAGTAGTTCAGTCATGTGTTCTTTTGCAAATGCAGTTATTAGTTCAATACCTTTCTTTTCAGATGTGCGTTCCAAACGGGAGTATGACGAAAGCCACGTGATTACAGCCCTTCTCGTGAAGAAGGTACATCAGTAGTCAGAATCTGGGGCAGACTGGCTACCATACAGGATTGTGGGAAGAACGGGAGATGTTATCCTAGCTCCAGGAGGCAGCACCTCCTACTGGACAGTGTGGGAAGCAGAGGCAGGACCGGCCCTGTGCGTCCACCACGAGGGTCTTCTCCGTTGTCACACACTCCCTCAGGTGTCCCCCTGTCCCCCATGGTCAGCAGCTTCATTAAGCAGATATTGATTTAATTTCTTGACATGCCAGGCAGTGTTCCAGACCCTGGGACATTCTGTTGTAACAGAATACAGGATGCCCTTAATTCATTGTCCCTACTCAGGGAACAGATAAGCCATAGAGATAGCATAACCTGGAGTGGGAAGCCCCTTCTCTCCTATCCCTTTTCTTTTCCATCTTGTTTTCCTTTCCCAGTTTCAGCTTTTTAAAAAGACCGCGCCTGGCATGCAGTGACCATTCCCCTCCTCCTGCAGCTGAGGCCCTTCCGTCCAGCCCCACAGGGTGTCTTCTCTCTCAGGTCACTGTGGAGCCTGGCAGCCATCACTCAGGCTCCACCTCTGACCCCTGCAGTGCTGACCACCACATTCTTTGCCCTTGAATTCCAGGTTCTCTCTTGCTTCTCTGGTTTCTTTATCTCTTTGGTTCAGCTTCTCCTACTGGTTCATTTTCTCCATTTGGTTCATTTTCTCCTACTGCCACGCCTAAAGGAAACCACTGATCTGTGTCCCTGGTCTTCTTTATCTCTGTTGGTCAGTCTGCTTTCTTGCTCAGAGATTTCACCCAAGCTTACAGCTTCAGTTATCTATACGCAGTTAACTGTCCTGCCAACGTCACTTCAAAAGTTTTGTCTTGCAAAACTCCCTCTTCTCCCTCCTCCTGCCACCACGCTCCACCTCTGGCCCTTTTCCACACAGATCACACAGGAAGCATGAGCCCTGCCTCAAGCATTTTTCTGAGATAAACTTGCTGCCTAACTCCTCCTTTCCCCCTGCCCTCGTGCATCATTATCTGCTTTTTTCCTCCCTGGGTTTTCAGTTTTCTGGCTCCATATTCCAGCTCTTCTTCATCTCCCTTTCAGGCCTTTCTCATCCTTTTACAGCCTATTCAGAGCCCCTTCATCATGTATGGCCTTCAGTTTCCAACTCAGCTCTCAACTCTGTGTGTTCCTTTGATCCTGGCAGCACCCCCAGCTCTGGAAAAGAGACATTCTCTCAGCCTCAGCCCCGCAGAACCCTTCAGCCAGGTTGACACCTCATGCTTCCCCTCTTCCACTTTCTGGCCAGCAGATGACAGGCCTTTGGGGAACCCCGCACCAGCAGAACACACAGCCCCCAAGTTGGTGTTCATCGCCTTCTCGGATCTGATTCCATCTCCCTCTTCAGCCTCACCTCTGGGACGCTTCCACTCTCCCCTGGTGCCTCACCAGCATTGCCTTGCCGTGTTTCCTTGATTCTGAGATGCACATACATCATATTTTAACATTCCTGAAGTTGGGAATATATCCTACAGTTGCACCTTAAAGTAGCGGTGTCTTTCCCTCAAAACTGAATGTGGTCCACACTTGTTATTGTTCTGCCCCGCACCTCCACTTTTTTGAGGGGCATTCCTCCTCTCTCTGCTCAAATCATAGGGGTCTAGTTGTGCTCCCTAGAATAGGATCCAGACCCTGGCCACAGTGATTGGCCTGGGACGAAAATGGCCAATCAGAGTTGGAATTAGAGAAGGCGGCTCCTTTTACTCTGGTGGTGGAGTATGGAGGGTGGGAATCTGAGCATTGCTGGTGGCCGTGATTCAGGCCTCAGGACAGAGTGGTCCAGAAGGTGAAGCCAGTGTGCAGGCGACAGAGTGAGGCACAGTGCCTGGGAGCGAGGTCTGGGCTTTGGAGCACTGGTTCAGATCTTCCCAGGACCAGTTGGTCCCCACCTTGCCTGAAGTATTTATATGCCAACACATCCCTCCTTTTATGTACATTCCTGATTGCAACTGTTAAAATTGGTGGTGCATCTTACAACCCATGATCTCTTACAATCTAGGAAATGACAGTACGTGTGATCTCCTGGACATGCTACTGTCTGTGACACAGGGATGTGTATGCTTTGCTCGTCATTGTATCGCACATGCTCAGTCTGGTCCCTGGCATCTGGGAGGTGCTCAGTACCTATTTGTTAACTAAAACATGAATGACTGGAATCTGGTCCTCCTGTGTGGAACACTCCCCCAGCCCTTGTCCATCTGGCAAGTTTCTGCTCGCCCTCACAGTCTCGTTTCAAGTGCCTCCTGCCCCATGCGGCCCTTCTGAGTCCTCCAGGCTGACGCAGGCATTTCTCTTTTCTTTCTCTCTCTCTCTCTCTCTTCTCTTTTTTTTTTAAATCTCTGTATTCCAGAACCTGGCACAGTGTGAGTACAAAATGGGTCCTCAATGAATGTTTATTGAATAAAGGATGGAGGTCCAGCCACATCTCTCCTGCTCTCCTGTCTGCTCTAGCCTCTGGGGGCTGTTCCCACCTTTGCCCTTTTTCTCAACTTTTCTCCACACACAGACCACCACCCCCCTCGTTATCACCTGTTGAAATCCTGCTCACCCCCCGAGCACCAGCTGTGTCCTGATTCCTTTAGATGAATATGATTTCTCCCCTCAGAGTCCTGGAGACAGTCCTGGTCTTTACTCCCTGGGCCTTACCTCCCTGCATTGCTGTCCAGTAAATGTGCACTCATCCCATCCCCCCCGCAGGTCCTGTCAGGGCCTCTACGACAGCCAGGCCAGATCGCAAGGGGCAGACTCAGGCTTGGGTTCCCCTGAGTAGTGCGGGCTTTCAGGAAGCATTGTGAACAAGTGGACACTAACCAGCTGGGTCTTCCTGAGCTCTGGGACACCCTTTGGTATCATGGACAGTTCTGTACTGAGAGAGGTCCTCACCTCCTTGGCAGAAGTCTCCTGTGCTTGCCCTTGTGGCCGTGATGTTGACTCAGCCACTCCTAACTGCTCCTCATGACCTCCTGGCTCCTGTTTGTCCATTCCTTCCTTTAACCATTTTTATGCCCTGCTGTGTGCCAGGCATCATTCTGGAAGCTCAGGATACATCAGTGGCTCTACATGGACAAAAGTTCCTACTCTCCCAGAACTTCCATTTCTGCCTCGTCATACCTGCTTGCTTATGACTTCTGTCTAGTCAAGTCTCCTGCTTACTGCCCTCTTCATGGCAGATTTTGGAATTGGCCCTCACAACCAACACTCTTCCTCAGAGAGAGGATGTCATTAGTTCAGGTGGCTATGGTTGCTCTGACAGCACTCGTGCCAGGGCACCTCATAGGCTGTGGGCCAGTCACTAGCCCACTGTTCCTTGCCCAGTCACTTATCTCTGGTCCAGTCAGCTGTGGTCACTTTCCCCAGGAGGAGATATAGGTGTGGAAGATCCTTAGCATTTGGCAGACTCTCCGGTTCACTCAGGGCTTCCATGCCTGTGTGCAGTCAGGGAAATGGGCACAGTCCTTCCTCGGCTCCTCCCAGTGCTGGTGTGCAGGGAATGTCTGCTTGGCTGAACCCACCGCCAACAGGCTTCTCTTATGGTCTCTTTAGAGGGCAGATGAATATCTCATCCCAGAGTCTGTAGATCTGGAGTGTGTGAAATACTGTGTGGTGTATGATAACAACACCAGCAACCTGGAGATAATCTTAAAAGACGAAAACGATGATGACGACACCGACGATGACAAACAAGGTGGGTTTTTACCGCAGCAGCAAGAATCACACTGAACAGTTATTGGGCACTTCTGCCACCTGCCAGGAGCCCTACCTGCATCACCTCGTGCCATCTGCAGAACAACCCTGTGAGGCTGGCAGTGTCAAGAACTGGGGGGAGTCTGGGATTTTTTCCTTCCTTACAAGATGGTAAGTGAGCCTGCCATGGTTTCATGGATGCTGGCAGAAGACATGAGGCTCCTGGGTCAGAGACAAAGGGCTTTATTTCTCTGAGCAATAAAAGTGGCCAGAATGCAATGGGTAACATTGTAGGAGAATTCTTAGCTTAGAGGGCCTAAAGTCTTGTATACTAAATGGGCAGAAAGCCTGCCCACCCTTGGATCTGGAGGGAGAAACTGTCTCTATCAACCAAGGGTGTTTCTTATACAAATACCCTTGAAAAGCCAGTGCTTTGTTCACAGGACATGTAGAAACATGAGAGACCATGGAGAATTGTCTCCTAATAGGTAACATCCTCATCTTGCAGATGAGGAAGCTGGGGCCTGGGAAGGTGAAGTAACTCACCCAAAGTCCCACACCTGGGAATTTGCCGTGTAACAAATTACCCCAAAACTCAGTAGGTTAATACTGTAAATATCAGTTATCTCATAGTTTCTGTGGAATTCAGGAGCAGCTTAGCTGGAAGGTTCTGGCACAGTGTCTGTCCTGAGGTTGTAGTCACAACGTTGGCCAGAACTGCTGTCAGCTGAAGGCTTCACCGGGCTAGGATGATCTGCATCTGAGATGAGTCAGTTACACGGGAATAGCCAGGAAGCCTCAGTTCCTCACCACGTGGACCTCTGCATAAGACTGCTTCCGTGGCCTCACAACAGTGCAACTGGTTTCCCCCAGAACGAGTGATTGGAGAGGGAGAGAAAGGGAAAGACACTTGCCTTTTATGACAGTCTTGGGGCTCAAACTGTCATTCTCGCTACATTCAGTTCGTTAGAAGCCAGTCACTAAGCACAGCCTACCCTCAAGGAGAGGGGAATTAAACTTAACCTTTTAAAGGGAGGTGTTTGAAAGAATTTATGGGCATATTTTTAAACCACCATGCCTAGTAAATGGTGGGACCAGGATCCAAACCTGGGCGGTTTGGCTCTGTCGGGTCTCCTAAGGGCTGGAAAGTGATGTTGGAGGAGAGTGCAGGCGAGCAGTCCGAGCCGGGGTTGTGATCCGGTCGGTCCTGAACTGCTTCACTGAGGTTCCGCTGCGTCCTCCATTCAGCCCCTGGTTGGGCCGACCACCCCTGGCTGCTGCTTGTGGCTCCGTGGCTGATAAGTGCAGGTGGAGTTCCACAGCCTGGGCATTCACATCAGCAGTCACTGGGTGGCGCTAGGCTTCCACCTTCAGTAAAACCAGTCTTTCCAGGAGGTCATTAGGCAATTGTCCCCTCTTCCCTAAGCTCATCCTGTTGGACTCCGGTCTGCAATCCTAGGCTTGCAGGCTGGACCCTGAAAGCCTAGGAAATGGTGGTTGATAAAGACACTCCCCTCTACACTCCATCCCTGACCTCACTGTAATGCTAGAGAGCCCCTCTTCTCACCCTGTAAGACATCACAACCACAGAACGACAAAAACCAAAACCCACTCACATAAAATTTGCTTACTCAAGGGAACTTTTTTCCTTTAAAATGGCATCTTTCAGGTAAATGCAGAGTCTTTTGGATAAAAGACCATTTCAACGTTTCTCTTCCCACCTTCTTTCCACGGTGAAGCACCCACTTTCCTGTTTCCCAAGGAAATCCGGGTGTGGGCAAAGCCTTCATCACAGCCTAGAAGCATGTGTTGGCCTCTGTGTAGTCTTTTCCTGCTGGTCTCTGGGTGGGATGCAGCTCAATTTGTGTGCTGCCTTTGGCATGGTCCTCTGTCTTTGCTGTCAGCGGCTGAAATGTCCAGGTCTCGTGTAAGTTGTAAGAGTGCCCTCCATCCTGGCAGTGCATGGTGATGGCCCCTGGGGATCTCAGCCCTGTGCCCTCCTACCCAAGCTCCACTTGGCCTTCCGCAGGTGCTGCTGATCCCTGGGCTGCTGTGTCTTTCCTTCTTTTCAGTGGTAGGTTAACCCCTCCCACCTCTGCTGCAAGGGCCTCAGGATTCCTGGTGGGAAATAAGGCACAAGCTGTTTTCAGCTCCCCTCGTTCCACCCCCCACCTCCCCAGCCAGTGTGTTTCTGCCTCCTCAGCTTAGTATCTTCTTAGGAACCCAGAAAGTATCTTCCCTTGTCTTGGTCTCTGGGACTCTCTCCAAGCTCTTTTAGCATATAAAGGGCAGCCCCTTCCTGAATGAAAGACATTTCCTTATGTTAAATCACCCTTCCTTGCAACAAATGGATTACAGACCCGCAAGCTAGGCTCTTGATATGTGTGGATGGAGTTCCCTAGCCCGGACATTCACACCAACTGTGAAAGGGAAGCTTTGGGAATTTGGAGATTCCTTTTTTTCTTCTTAACAAAGCCTGACTTTCAAAACAGTTGTCTGGCTAAGGACCCAAACCCCTTGTTCCAGGTGGTGTCCCCTTCCCCCTGAAGCAGTGGGCACCCAAGTGGGAAACTTTGTGTCAGTAGAGAACTCAGAATTAATGGGAGTAAAATGTATTTAATCAGACTTATTAACCCCATTACATCTGTGGCTGGAAAGTTTGGGTCCGGGGAGGTTCTCATGGGTTTTCACTGGAGTCTTAAATTGTCCCAGTTGAAAGACAGCAGCGGTGTGTCTTGGGACTCCCTCCGCAAATCCCTGGGGCGCTCTGACTCACCCATCATTATTCAAGCTCTTGCTCAAGAGGGAGACTCAGAACTCTCTGGCTTCCAAGCCAGGTGCTCTGGGTTGGACTTTGGCTCCTGTCTTGCCAGCTACATGTTCTTTCCTCGCCTGGCTAGTGAATCCAGGCTCTGCCTCCAAATACAGTCTCTCCAAGTGGGTCTCAGGCCACTTATATTCTCAGCAGCCCCTAATGGAATTGGCCTTCTCTCCCTGGACAAAGGTTCAGTATTGAGGTCAGTGTCTATGCTCTTCCCTCTCTCCTCTTAGCTGGCTCTCCACAGTCTGCTGCATAGTATCTCTCTTCAGGGCTCACATCTTGGCCTCAGGATATTTTAGCTTAGCCTTAATTTTGCAAGCTTCCTGTCACATAGATCTAGCTTGTATATGGTCTAATGATGATTGTGCAGATTGATGAAGGCATTTAAGATTAAATTGATGTCAAAGGTAGAGTGGAGGTCCCGTCACACCCACTAGAATGGTCATGATCTAAAAGGCAGATAATAACAAATGTTGATGAGGATGTGGACACAGTGGAATCCTCATACACTTCTGGTCAAAATGTAAAATGGTGCAGTTGCTATGCGAAATGGTTTGGTGCATCCTCAAAAATTAAACACAGAGTTACCATATGGTCCAGCAATAACCCAAGAGAAATGAAAACATGTGTTCACAAAACCTTGCACATGGATGTTCACAGCACCATTATTCAAAATAGTCCCCAAATGGAAACAACCCAAATGTTCACTAACAGACAAATGGGTAAACAAAAGGTGGAGAGCCACACGATGGAATATTATTCAGTTATGAAGAAGGATGGAGTGCTGACACCTGTTGCAACATAGATGAACTTTGAAGACATGAGGCTCAGTGAAAGAAGCCAAACACAAATGCCACATTTTGTGTGATTCCATTTCTGTGAAGTGTCCAGAATAGTTCAGTCCGTAGAGAGAAGCTAGATTAGTGGCTGCCTAGGGCTGGGTATTTGGGGGGAAATGAGGAGTGAAACCCTCTAACTGGTACATGGTTTCTTTGGCGGGGGTAATGAAAATGTTCTGAAATTGATTGTAGTGATGGTTACACAACTCTGAATGTATCAAAAACCATTAATTTATATACTCTAATTAGGTGAATTGTGTGGTATATGATTTATGGTATTGTGTATATATATACACACGCATTTCCCTTACATTGAATCAAATTTCTTTACAACAATATGAAAAAAAATGAAATCTCAGTTTACAGGAAAAAATCAGCTTACTTGGTAGTAAGTTGCTTTTGAAATTTTAATGGTAGCATTTGTCTCTATTTATAGTCGCTTCAGCTTCCCAGATAATTGCTTTTCAGAATGAAGTGCCCATCTGCTGGAGCTTTAGGCAAACAGTGAGCACACAGGGAGCATTCTTCTCTTTGGTCTACCCTCTTAGGAGTGGTGCTCGGAGCTGCCCTTGAGTGTGGTAGAGCCCTGACCCGCCTCACCCGCCAGCCCATCCATATCCTGAGAGGGGGCTACGAGCGCTTCTCAGCCATGTACCACTTCTTCCGGACGCAGAAGATCATTTGGATGCCACAGGTAAGGCAAGGTGCTGAGCGCAGGCAGGCTCGGATGGGAACATGGCCCTCCCCTGGGACCCAAGGGGTTGGGAACAGGGTTGGAGACAGAGGAGGAGACAGATGACATAGAAAAGGTGGAACAGATGTTGAAGATGGCTTGGGAAATGAACTTGGGGCAGCCAGGAGGTCGAGTCCAGTATGATGAGTTTATAGTTGCCAGATTCAGGCAGAGGCCATGGTGGTGTTTAAGAGACAAGGCAGGTTCAGAGGGCACGGGTCAGGGGCAAGGTAAGGGGGTATTCTGGATGATGTGTCGTGGTCAAAGTCAGACAGGCAGGGGCATTGTGAATTTTTAAAAGATAATTAATTTGTTAATTTTGTTTGTGGCTTTTTTGTGTTTTTCTAGGGGAGTAATTAGGTTTGTTTATTTGCTTGCTTGTTTGTTTGTTTGTTTAAATGGAGGTACTGGGGATCGAACCCAGGACTTCATGCATGCTAAGCATACACTCTACCACTGAGCTGTACCCTCCCCCTGGGGCATCATGATTTGAGGCTGCCTCGCCATCCTTAGCCATTGAGTCCCGCAAACCCTGGCTGGGTCCAGAGAATACAAAAAAAAAGTGAGATGGCAGTCCCTGCCTGTGAGGAGTCCTTTGTCTAGTAGGGGAGACAAGGTGGCCAAGGGGTGTCCCAGATGTCTGGAGCCCAGAAGGGCACTTATTTCCTGGAGCCAAACCAGAAGGGAACTGGGTGAGGTTGAGTAGGGCAAGTACTGAGTAACAATGATTGGCAGGCAGGGACTGGTCCCTTGGGGCCATTTTGTAGTATCTGATTTCTTGAAGAGTCTGAATGTAATGGGATGTGAACATGCAAGGGTTTTATTCTTTCCAACAATTGCTTTCAGCTACGCTCTCATTCTTGCCCTTAACATTGTCAAGGGCAGATTCTGTACTTTGTGGCGACTTTTGGTTATGAAAAATTTCAATCTAGTCATATTATAAAACAATTGGGGAAATGGGCCTATGAACTGCAATTTGATGATAGAAATTATTATTTATTTTTAGGTTGTGATGACATTACTATGGGTATGTTTTAAAAAATATGAGTCAGTATCTTTTAGAGACATAATGAAATATTTATAATTAAAGTGATATGACGCCTGGAATTTCCTTCAAAATAATCGGAGGGGTTGGTAAGTCAGGGATATAGATAAAACAAAATAGGCCATTAGTTGGTAATGTTTGCAGAGGGGTGATAGAACCAGAAGTTTGTTATACTATTCTCTCTACTTTTGTGTATTTTTGGAATAATTTTTAAAAAGAGAATGAAAACAGTCAGTCCCAGTACAAGCTAGACTAGTTTAACATTACAATCTCAAATCAGATCTCCTCTCTTCCCATCCCCCGGAGCTGGGCAGCCTTCCATTTCCTAGGGGCTGGGAGTGGGGAGGGATGTGGGATAGCTTCAGGGACATCTCCTCACTTCCTTCTTCTGGGACTGGCCCCTTTGGTGCTGGGGGTCCAGAGTGGGCCCTGTTTTCTGTGACTGGCTGTTCGTTAGTGGTGGGGGAGTGCCTTCTCACTCTGGCCCAGCCTGCTCCTGTGTGCTGCTGATGGCCTTGGTTGCTGACTTTCTTGAGGCCTTGGTCAGAGGGCCCCATTTGTTACTAAGGATCCTTCAGAGAGAGCCAGCTGAGAATTCCTACCAGGTGTACCCCCAACCCCCTTCCCTCCCCTTGGCAGCTCATGACCTCTCACCACATCCATACTCTTTCGCCTGAATCCCAGAATGAGCCACGAGGGAGTGTGATGGTGGGGAAGGGGGCCCAGGCAGACCTGGCTCCAGCCCCTCCTTGTCTTGCTGACTCAGCAAGAGAAGGAGTAGGCAGTGTCAGAGGGAAGCCAGCCTGTATGAAAAGGCAGGGACCAGGGTATTGTGGAGTCATGCCTGTTCACAAACCCAAGCTCTCCAAAGGATTTCCTCCCCTTCTTCCACTGAGCTATGGTTTTCAGCTCAACAGGTGTACCACCAGTCTCCCTGCCCTGCCAGACACTCCTCTGCACTGTCAGAGGAGCACCCTTGCTGGATTTGCAGTGATGGGAGGGAGTCTTTCTCATCTGAATATCACACACTGATAACTCAACTCCTTTTTATTCTTTTAAATTTTTAGGAAGGACATAGGATGAACTGCACATATTTACAGTGTACAATTTGGTCAGTTGTGACATGCGTGTACACCCGCGACTTGCCCTTGCCCCCAGTCTTAGGTATATTGGGAGGAGGGAGAGGGTGGTGGTGGCTGGTGGTATCTAGCAGGGCCTGGGTGGGTGAATTCTACTCTGGTTGTTTGTGGCCCTCTTCAGAATGTAGGTTCCTAGTATTTGCCTCTCCCTGCTTTGGGACCTTTGTTATTAATGCAGGGGCAAGAGTGGAAGCCCCATTCCCTTCCTGTTCTGTGTTCTGTCACACTGTAAAGCAGGAGTGTTCCTAACACTCCCAAAGGAAGTCCTTCCTTGGGGAGGGTGAAGGTACAGAATTTGGGCTCTGAGACTGCCCTTCTACTTTAGACAGAGCAACTTCTGATTTCCTGTCTTATATATGGCATCCCTTCAAAGAGCAGAGGGGTTCTCTGACTAAAGCTTGTGTGAAGACCACACTGGAAAGAGATAATGGTGAGCTACTGAATAGTTTTAAGTCAGGTGGGGGGTGGGGCGCCTGGTCAGATTGCACTTTAGGAAGATCAGCTCTGATGGCAGTATGGAGCAGAGATCAATGGGGGTGGGCAGAGTGGATCTGGGGAGGCCTGCTAGGAGGTGGGGATGGAGAGGAGGACAGGACGGATTCGAGAAATACTTAGGAAGTGGCGTTGATTAGACAAGGAGTAGGGCATGGGAGAGGGAGGAGTCTAGAATAATACCCTGGTTTAGGTGTGGGTGGTGAGTGACTTGTGGTGTGGCTTATTGAGATGGGGACACAGAAGGAGGAGGCAGTGTCAGAGGGAAGGCCGTGGGCTCAGTCTGGACATGTTAATTCGAGATACCTATTTCTTTTACATTTGCTGATGTGGTTGTCAAAATTGTGGCCGCTAGAATTAACAGGCACTCTCTCTTTTAGTACTGCATGTTTTCATCCATGCTACACCCTCTTCCCTTGCAGCCCTTACAACCACAGGAAAGGAAGCTGGTTAGAAAGCATCCGGATGAGAGTTGACAGATTTGCGATGGGTGTTGAGTGAGATTTTTTCCCAAATGAAACCAGGAAGATTTTATTTGGCTCCAGCAAGCTGAGCATCCTGTATGGGGTCAGCCCGAACTCTGGAGGGTGCTTTGGGTCACATCTGCAAGTAGCCTGCATGCTTGCATGTGGAAGGGCCCTGCCTCCCTTTCACAAACTTGAGGATTGGCTCAGTGTGATGTCTGCTCATTGATAAGGGATTTTGAGGCTGATAGTTTGGGAAGAATGTGGGCTTGCAGTAGGTTCCCTGGGAGGGGAGATGTGTGGAGGCCAGAAGGCTCTGAAAGGCTGGAGTGGATAGCAGAATAGCTTGAGGTACTTAAGATTTTATTTCTGAGTCAAACTTGGAGCCAGAGGCATTTTAGAACTGGTTTGACCTTTGAAATTACATAGGTCAGTATTTCCTATGGAAAACTGATGGAAAAAAGGGGTCTCTAAACAGATCATAATAGAAGCATGAGTTTATACAATGTTGGTGGATTTCTTTTGAGATTATGCCTAAAAACAAGTAAGTTTTTAACCCATACCAACAATAAATACGTAGCCATTGTTTTATTACAAACATCTCAGCTACAGAAGTCACTCAGCCATTAAGGAAATGTTCACTAGTTCTCAGTTCCCTGGAGGCATACCTTGAGAACAGTCTTAGACTGGCATGTTTTTCTGGCTGTTGTCCAACTTTTTAAATAATAAGATTAGTTCAATTATTTGATCATAATTGTTTCTAACCACCTGATTGGTACTCTAAAAATCTTTCCTTGGAAACAGTCAAGTTTTGTAATTCTCCCTCTAGTTTATTGATATATAATTCACATATAACATTGTGTAAATTTAAGGTGTACAATAGGATGATTTGATATACTTATGTGTTGCAAAATGATCACCATTACAAGGTTACCACATCCCTTACCTTACGTAATTACCATTTTTTGGGTGTGTGTGATAACATTTAAGATCTACTCTTTTAGCAACTTTCAAGTATATTATACTGTATTGTTAACTGTAGTCATCCTGCTGTATGTTAGATCCCCAGAATTTATGTGCCTTATATCTGGCAGTTTATAAGCTTTGACCAGCATCTCCTCATTTCACCCACTCACAGAGCCCCTGGCAACTACTACTCTACTCTCTGTTTCTGTGAGTTTGGCTTTTTTATATTCCACATATGTGTGAGATTATGTAGTATTTGTTTTTCTCTGTCTGACCTACTCACTTAACACAATGCCATTCACGTGTGTTAAGGTCCATTCACGTTACAAATGACAGGATTTCCTTCTTTTTTATGGCCGAACAACATTCCATTGTATGTATATAACTTATTTTCTTTAACCATTCATCATTGATGGACATTTAATTCATTTCTGTATCTTCTGTGAATAATACTCTGATGATCATGCGGTGCAGATACCTCTTCAAGATGGCGATTTCATTTCCTTCAGATTCATACCCAGAAGTGGGATTGCTGGCTCATATGGTAGTTCTGTTTTTAATTTTTTAGGCACCCTCCGTACTCTTACCCATCGAGGCTGTGGTTAGTGGACTTCCTCAGTGCCGGCCTTCTTCAAGCCTTTCATTGCTAATGTGCGTTGTTAGTTTCTGAGAGAGGGATAGCACAGGTACCGCTTCTCATCTCTGCTTGGTTCTCTGAACTCTTTTCTCAGTGCCTTGTGAGCAACCTGTGATTCTTAGAACACGCTTTGGGAAGTGTAGAAATAATCCTTCTCTTTGTTTCTTTGTTTTTCAAAGAAACCAAAATTTTTTCTTATTATAACTTTGGACCTGGAATTCACTAAGCTTCCATTTATTTAAGTGGTGTCCTGCTCTCCCTACGTCTCTACATCAGAACTTCATTAGAATTAATTTCCTAATGGCAAATAGGCTCTTGTGATTAGTTTTATTGTTTTTCTTTTAAAGTTTTTAAATTTTGGTGGTCTTCAAGTATAATAAAAAGGCTGTCCCCTGCCATCCCCTGACCGAAAACACCCTGGGGTTACCATGTTGAATACCATGTGGTATTCAACTACAGTCTTTGTGCATCTGACCAAATGCAAACGGGGAGGTTGGGGGAGGTGAGATGTCAGTGTTCCGATTCAGCACACTCTACCATGGTGCTGTGGCTTGGTCCTTCTGTCACTACCAGCCCTCTAACTCCTGTGCAAATTATAAGCCAATCTCTTTGAATGCCCAGATCTCAGTCTTATTCACTGTCCCAGTTTGTCTTTTTGAGCTTGTTTTCTGAGCCACATTTCAAGAGACAAAAACAAAAGCAGCTTCTCTGAGAATTATTATTATAGTGGCCTTTCTCCTCCCTCCATCTCAGGAACTGGATGCATTTCAGCCATACCCTGTTGAGATAATGCCAGGAAGAATCTACCTGGGCAATTTCAAGCAAGCCTGCGACCCTAAAGTGCAGAAGGATTTGAAAATCAAAGCACATGTCAACGTCTCCATGGAGACAGGGCCATTGTAAGTAAAAATACCATTTTTTTAGATTAGTATAATTTATTTATACAAGATTCCTAGTGCCATCCAATGATAGCATTGAAAGGGCTCTTAGACATCAGCACACACTGGAGTAGGGTCTACATTTATTTTTGTCTATTCCTGGCCTGCAGTTCATTTCCTAGCTTGGCCATGGTGTCCTCTGTCCCTAATTGACACGTCATACTTGCTCCATACTTAAATCTCACCAAAAGTAATGCTTTCGTGGTGTTTAACATTCTGGGTTCAAAGAGCAGAAAAGTTCTGTACAGCCTTGCTTGTCAGCCTCTGTCTTCCCAGCTGTGTCCAGTCATGGTCACCAAGGCCCAGCACTGTACACCCCACCTCTTCCAGCTCCTGGTCAAAGCTAATAAAAATTCAGCTCAGGGAGAATTTATATAAATAAACACAATAATTCAGTAAGGCATCTGGTAATGAAAATACTATATAAAATCAATAAATTCAATTTATTGATATAAAAACAATAATCAGTAAAAGAGAAAAGATACATTTTAAAACAGTAAGAAAAAGATAAGATTCTTGGGACTAAACTTAAAAAATACACAATGCTTATATAAAGAAAACTTCAAGATTTTAAGGTGGGAGATAAAAGATGATACAGATAATGGAAAAGACTATAAATTCAAAAGGATTTCAATAAAATTATGAATTACATGTGTGTATAACTAGACAATTTGATGTTCATAGAGAAAACAAAATTTAGTGATGAGTCAGGACTAGGGGATTCAGTTCAGCCTTCCAGCAAGAGCAACTAGAAAATTGGATCAAATATAAAATTTTCTTGTACTTTATGGATAAGAGAGAAGACAAAGCAGTGACAAGTTAGTGGCCAATATCTGGGAGAAGGAAATCTAGAGAGGTGAAGGTAGCACTTGGTGCTGTTTTTCCACTGGGAGTGTCTGCTGATTCTGAAAGTGGCAGCTAAAGGCTGAGAAATTGAGCAGAACTTTTGAAAGCCTCATAGAGCTATAGGTTTAAGAATCAGGGGCCCTGGAAACTTTTTCATATTTTAGATTGGAACACTAAAGGACTACTCCCTAGAAGTAAGGCTAAATCAGAGAAAGGCCAACCCTCATGGGGACTGAAGCCCAGCCAAAAGTCATCTTAACATCAATTCAGGTGATTCTAGATTGTTAATGCCCCAAATTATTTGCCAGACACAACTGTAAATCTTCTCCCCAAAAATAACATCATCCTGGGCCTCAAATTATTTCTGTAATTTTACATGTACAATACCTATATACATTAAAAAAAAAGAAAATCTGTCATATGAGGCAATAAGGCGACATGACCAATAATCAAAAGAAACAACAAAGAATAGAAACAGACTCATAGAGGGTCATATAATAGAGATAATAGAGTTATCAGACATAGGCTTTAACTTAACTATAATGGATAGGTTTAAAAAAATGAAAGTGAAAATTGAGCATTTAAGTGGAGAACTGGAAACTAACAAAAAGGCAAATGGATATGCTAGAACTGGAAAGAAAATAACCATAATTAAGAAAACAATGATTAGGTTTAATAATAAATAATACAGTTGGAGAAAGAATTAGTAAACTGGAAGTTAGGCCAGAAGAAACTACTAAAATGAAGCACAGGGGATAAAAATTATACAGAATGATAGAGAATGCAAGAAACATAGGAGCTACAGAGAAAGGTCTATCATAAATGTAATTGGAGTTCTTGAAGACTGACAGCTCATTCATCAACAGAAATCACTGAAACTAGAAGAAAATGGAATATATCATTGTAGTTGGTAGACTTTTAGGTGATCCCCACCTCCTATCATTCAGACCATTGAGTGTGGGCTAGATTTACTCATGTGCACTAATGAATAGAAAAGCAAAAGTGATGGGCTGTCACTACAGAGATTAGGTTACAGAAAGACTAGATGTGAGCTGCCCTCTGGAAGAGGTCCACATGGCAAGGGCCTGAAGGTCTCCAGCAAACAGTTAGCAATGAACTGAGGCCTTCAGTCAAAAAGCCTATGAGAAACTGAATCCTGCTGACAGTCATGTGAATTAGTTGGAAGCAGCTACTCTTCCAATTGAGCCTTCAGATGAGATCATATGAGACCCAGACAGTAGCTTAACTGTAACTTTTATGAAAGATTTTGAGCCAGTGGTGCCCAGATAACTGCTCCCAGATTCTTGATCCATAGAAACTGATAGATGATAACTTTTGTTGTTTAAGCCACTAAGTGTTAGAACATTTTGCTTTCCAGCAGTAAATAACTAATGCAGTCTTAAAGCACTGAAAGAAAATAACTGCCAACCTACCATTTTGTACACAGAGAATATATCCTTCAAGAATGTAAGTGAGAAGAATTTCTGTTTCTGGCCTTGATAGAGTAACTAGGACCAGATTTACAACCCTACCTTAAACAACTTTTAAAAACTCAGACAAAACATCTAAAACAAGGATTTTTGGACAATGGCAAACAGACAGCATAGGACAATGATTCTTGAGAGAAAGGGTGAAAAATCAAGATGAGCCCCACAATCAATCCAGCTTGTTGCTTGGAGACTGTTTGCAGGTCACAGTACAGGGCTGAGGCCAAAAGAGATTTTATTATTCTTTCTGAGTTGAGAATTTAGAGATGTCAAGTTGGCTAGAATTTTTAGGAGAGACTTGCATGGAGAATAGAGAGCGAAGTACAAAGAAGGTCTGCAGAGAGTCCCCCTGTGTCTTCAGCTGAGTACTTATAAGTACCTGCATGTGAGGAAACTACTCAAGGCTGGAGAAAAACCAATAGAAATGAACAAGCAGTACAGTCCCCAGAGATTACAGGGAGCCAGAAGTAGTTTATGTTTCGAGCCAGAGTAAACAAAACTCATAATATGCAGGGCATCAAATAGAATACTCAGAACAGTAGTGTCTCAGTAGTGAGGAAAAACTAGCTTGATATTAGGGATGAAAAATACAATGTCTGAAATAAAAAATACACTGGATGGAATTAACAGCAGATTAGACAGTATGGATGGATGAATCTGAAGATAAAACAATAGAAAATACACAAAATGAAACATAGGGAAGAAAAAGACTCAAAAAAAGAACAGAACTTCAGTGAGACTGAGACAGCTTCAAGTGGCCTAACGTGTAATTGGAGTCTCCAAAAGAGAGGAGTGGGGAGATAGAAAACATTTGAAGAAATAATGGCCAAAATTTTTCCAATTTTGATAAAAACTATAAATGATCATTATAATGATCTCAATAAAATCAATAAAATTTTTAATTAAAAATAAGAGAAAAATTAGGAAATATTATGAGCAACTTTATGCCAATACACTTGATTATTGTATTGAAGTTAAATTAAGTGAACAGTTTCCTTGAAAGACCCAAGCTACCAATGCTTAGTAAGAAAGAGACAACCAGAATATCCCCATACTTTTTAAAGAAATTGAATTCAGAGTTTAAAATTTTTTTCACAAAGATAGCTCTAGGCCCATTTGGCTTCACTAGTGAATTCTGCCAAACATTTAAGGAAGAAATAATACCCACTCTACACAAACTCTTCCAGAAAATGAAAGAGGAGGGAACACTTTCCAGTTCACTTATGAGGCCATCATATTCTGATACCTAAACCTGACAAAGATGTTACAAGAAAGGAAAACTACAGACCAATATCCTCAGGAACATAGGCAGAACAATTCTTAAAATTTTAGCAAATGGGATCCAAAAATATATAAAAAGGATAATATCTCATGACCAAATATATTCGCTCCAGAAATGCAAGGTTGGTTTGACATTAGAAAATCAGTCAGTGTAATTCACCATTCAGTAGTCCCCACTTATCTATGGTTCTTCTTTCTGCAGTTTCAGTTATCTACGGTCAACTGCAGTCTGAAAATATTAAATGGAAAATTCCAGAAATAATTCATAATTTTTAAGTTGTGCACCATTCTGAGTAGTGCAGTGAAATCTCATGTTGTCCCACTCTATCTCACCTGGATGTGAATCATGCCTTTGTCTAGTGTATCCACACTATATAGTACCTGCCCATTAGTCACTTAATGGTCATCTTGGTTATCAGATTGACTATCACAGTATCCTCAGCGCTTGTGTTGAAGTAATACTTATTTTACTTAAAAATGGACCCAAAGAACAAGAGTAGTGATCCTGGAAAAGACATAGTATGTACAGGTTTTTGGTACTAGCTGTGGTTTCAGGCATCCAGTGGTGAGGTGGAGGTCTTAGAATGTGGATCCCCACCATGAATAAGGGGGGACTACTGTATTAAACAGACTAGAAAAGAAAAGTTATCTTCAGAGCAGATACAGAAACATGGCATCCTGCAAGTGCTGAGTCTAAATTTTTAAAAAAGTTTACAGGGGGCATTTATAAAAATTGAGACTATGATGGTCTATAAAGTGTGATTAAACCAATTTCAGGAGATTAAAATCATATACAGTTGGGTTTTCAGCCACTGTGGAGTTAATGTAAAAAGCAATAATTAAAAAATGTAACTAGAAAATTCATAGAAATTTAGAAATAATAAATTTTATTAATTATCAAATTATTAATACATAATTATTGAATTAATTAATAAATAAAATAAATTTCTAAATGGCCCCATGAATCAAAGAAAAACTCACAATGGAAATTATGACATATCTTCAACTACATGATAATAAAAATATAGCATATCAAAACTTGTGCAAGGTAGCTAAAACTGTTCTTAGATGGAAATTTATAGCCTTAAATGCATCTATTAAAAAGAAGAAGGGCCAAAAATAAAGTAGTTAAGCATTCGCTCAATAAATTATCAAAGAAGCATCACACTAAACCAAATAAAAGAGAAGAAAGGAATGATAAAAGAAAATTATTGAACTAGAAACAATAGAAATGATTAAGAAAGTAAAAATAGTTTTAAAAAATCTAATAAATTTGATAAACCCTTGGCAAAAAAGAGAGAAGGCACAAATAACCATTTGTAAAGGGGACTCCACATACCCTACAGATATTAAAAAGATCTTAAGAGGATATTGTGAAACTTTATTGTAATAAATATGAAAATTTAGATGAAATGAACAAGTTAAAAAATACTATTAAAGCTGACATCAGACAAAATAGAAAATTTGATTAGTATCAATATCCAGTAAATTTCTCATAGAGAACACTAGATCTGGGTAGCTTCACTGACGAATATTACTTACTATTTAAGGAGGAATAAAGCCACTATTAAATTTTTTTAGAGAATAAAGAAGAGGAATAATTTCAACTTGTTTTCTGAGACCAGCATAACTGTGATATCACAACCTCATAAGGTATTATAATACAAGAAAATTATAGACTAATTTTCTTAATGAACATAGATGTAAAAATCCTAATAAAATATAAACACATTGAATATAGAGATATATGAAAAATGTAATACATGATGATTAAATTGGTTTTATTCCAAGGATACAATGTTGCATCTGAAAAAATCAATCTATGTAATTTATCATATTAATAACATAAAGTAAAAATCAGGATTATCTCAATAGATGCAGTGAGAGCATTTGACAATATTCACTATATATTTATGGTTAAAAAAAAACCTCTTGGCAAACTGGGAATAAAAAGGAACTTCTTTGCTCATTTAAAACCTACAAAAATCTCTATAGCAAATGTCATGATGGTGAAAATGGAAAGTTTTCCCTCTGAGTCTGGGAACAAGATAAAGATGCAGCTATCACCACTCCTATTTAACATTGTACTGGAGGTCCTAGTTGGTGAAATATGGCAAGAAGAAGAAATAAAAAAGGAGTCAAAAGGGAAATTTCACTATTCACAGACAATGTAATTGTATACAAAGAAAAGCCAAAACAACCTGCAGATAAATTATTAGACTTAAATAAGGTTGCTGGGTACAGGAGCAATATATAAATAACTTTTTGCATACAAATTAAAAAACTGAAATTTCAAAACATATAATTTACAATAGCACAAATTATTAAGTACCTAGGATTATACCTAATGAAGGATGTGCAAGATCCTTACCCAGAAAATTATAGTGTTACCGTGAGTAGTAATGTTTTGTAGTTCTCATTGCACAGATCTTGCACATCCTGTGTCAGATTTCTTCCTAAGTATTTGATATTCTTTGTGCAATTATAAATGCTGTTTTAAAAACTTCAATTTGTGATTGTTGCTACTATGTAGAAATCCAGTTGATTTTTTATATATTAATAACCTTATATCCTTCAGCCTTCTTTGTCCAGATGTCTCCTCCTTTGTGAGGCTTTCCCCAGCTCCCCTGACTTCTCCCTGCCCCTCCTCTTCAGTGTCATGTGTAGATCTTTATCCATAAACCTAACCAATTTGATTGGGGCCATTTGTTTGTGTGTCTGGCTTCCCCATCAGACTGGGAGCTCCTTGAAGCTGGGAAAGGCCCTGTCTGATCCATCTTAGGTCCACTAGGGTCCAGCCCAAGGCTCAGACTTGAGTGAGTGTCTGAGGAAAGAATGAATGGATGGGGATAGATGGATGGGTGAGTGGACAGGTGAGTAGATGGGAGGCAAGGAGGGAGAGAGGGATGAAGGGGGGAGGAAAGGATAGATGGATGAATGAATGCATGGTGAACTGTGCTTGTATTGTCACAGCAAGTGCTCATGCAGAAACTAAACCAGCCTATTTTTGTTTCTGTATCTACTGTAACTTTCTGCATGCCACAGTGAATGAATGTCACCAGTAGGCCATGGTCTTCATCAATAATATTTATCAAGTGCTTACTGCATGCTAGGCATTCTGCCAGGTTCCTTGCAGGCATCTTCTCATTAAACATGCTACATGCCTCATCTCCCCTGCCCACCCCATCCATGAAGCTCTAGCCACTTTGATCTCCTTATTGTTTCTCAAATACACTAAAGACCCTACCCTCAGGACTGTTGCACATGCGTTCTCTTCTACCTGGAACATTCTTTCCTCAGATAACTGCCTGGCTTGTTTTGTAACCTCCTTTAAGCCTCTGCTCAAATGTCATCTCTTTAGTCAAGCCTTCCCTGACCACCCTATCTAAAAAACAGCAGCCCCACCACTCTCCATCCTTCTTATCTTAACTTTCTTCATTTAACATAGCAGTCTTACTACATACTCCTTTCCATCCTCATTCTATTATCTGCATTGTATTCTAGGAAAGCACCAGGTTTGGTTAACAATAGTAATGTCATATTTATTGAGCACTACTATGTGCCAAGCAGATTGCTAACTGCTACTAGATTAATTGACTCAATCTACACAATACCCCTACAAGATAGGTGCTGTTTTTCTGAGAGGGTTTCAGTTATTTGCCCACATCTCCAAGATGCCAGCTCAGCATCCTTCCACTGCGGTCCTTCTGCTGTGGTTGAGGGACACCACAGTAGGTCTCTGTGTGAGTCTGCCCACTTGCCTGTGCTTTTCTTCTGTTTAGTTTTGTAGGCGACGCTGACAAGCTTCTGCACATCCAGATAGAAGATTCCCTAGAAGCCAACATTTCCCCCTTTTTACGCCACCTCTGCCACTTCATTGGTAAGGAGCATTCTCTAACTAGCTAGCAACTGGCCTGTGCCCAGGAAGCAGAGGGGCTGTGACACCTTGTCCACACGCCTATTGCTGATTGTGACTCTCAGGACTCAGGAGAAAAAGGTCAGGGCCCAGCCGTGCTCAGCCAGGTGCGGCCAAGCCCCAGGCCAGGCCCTTCTCCTTGGGATCCTTGGCAATATGGGCAGCCACGTATTTACCTTGGGGGCAATGGGGCCAAATAAGAGCCCCAGGCTGTGGATTGAGCGCCCTGTGTTCTGGCCCTGGCTGGATCACTGTGCCCTTTTGGGCTTGGCCAGGCCCCAGTCCTGGCATCACTGCACCTGTTGGCCTGTTGTGAAATGAGAGTGTTGCCCATCCTGGGTGCATGTGTTCATGGACGCCTGCTTTGGGCTGGGCTCTGGTGACCTGCAGGTGAATCTCACTCCGTCCTGGCCCTCTTGTCTGGTCAGTGGGGTGGGGTGGAAGGAAGACTCCAGAGCCCTTCCATTTCTGACTTCCATGATCCCCAACATGTGTGCCCAGTGCCCCTTCTGTTGTCCCACCACACAACAGTGCCCACCAGTCATTTATCTCACCAAGGGTGGAGTTTTCAATCATTCCTAGGGCTCAGGATTCCCCAAAGAGAGCAAAATCCCTGGAGAGAGTAGGTTGTGTCAGGTTAGAGGCCCACCCCAGGATGGCCTGCTTGTCACCAACACAACCCTGAGCCTGAGAAAGGCATTTTGGCCCAGAATTCCCTTATTTTCCCAGGAGATTGCCATTGTCACTTGCCTAGGAGCTGAGACTGAGACTTGCCCTGCATCCCACCATGGGATAGCAAAGCCCTGTGGCCCAAAGAGGACCCCTGTCCAGCCCCACCTCACTGGTGTGGCTCTGGGCCAATCCTTAACTGCTCTGTGCCTAAGTTTCCTTATCCATATGATGAAGCAGTTGGCCTTAATAATCTCAGTCCTCCTCCACTGATGGTCTCTGATTCTGCACTTGGTATGTTTATTTTCAGTTCTTGGGTATTACCAGCCAGCTTAGGATGCCAATTTAAATTTTCTCCCGAGCCCTCACTGGGTGAGCTTGACAGCCCCAGGGCCATCATTGAATGTGATTATAACTGATACTTGTGTGCCAGGCACTGGCCTAAACACAGTTCAAGACTGCCTTATGAGGTAGGTAGTACACTATTATCACATTTTCCAGATAAGGAAACTGTAGCTTAGAGTAACATGCCCAAGCCCCACAACCAGTACTTACTCACACCCAGGCTACACTGCCTCTGTCAGCATCCAAGTGTCGTTGGGGTACAGTCCTCTTCATCTCCGCTTGGGGAGGTCAACTGGTAGCAGGCCTTCCTGGGCTGGAAGCCTGGAGGGCCCAGAAAAGACCTTTGCATGATAATACTGAGTGCCCAGGTGTGATTCTCTCAAACTGCCAGCTAGCTCTGAGGATCTCCGCTTGTCAGGGGATGAAACAGTAAGTAGCCTAGAGATGTCATGTGACTTACCTAGGTCATGGTGTGCTGGTTATGAATTTACTGTTGGACCTACTGAGGTCAGTCATCTTATAGATCCACAGGGAAGGGGGCCACGCACAAACCCCTGTCTTTCCTTCCTTGTGTAGAAATTCACCTTGAGCTTGGCTCTGTCATCCTGGTGTTTTCCACCATGGGCATCAGTCGCAGCTGCGCAGCCATCTTGGCCTACCTTATGCACCGGAACGAGCAGACCCTGAAAGTATGTATTCCTTGGGGTCAGAGCTGCACCTGGGAGGAATGGGGCCCCAGCACTGCCTCAGGGGCCTAATTGGGGGCTGGGGGACAGGGAGGAAGAAGGGTTGGGGAAGGCTTTACCTAGCACACCATACCCAAAGGCAAGGTCTGAAGATATGGGCTAGAGACCAGAGGCTGGGAACACAGGGCAAGTCCAGGGACTCAGACTGGGCAAGGCTTCAGCCAGCCGCACCGTCTGCGTGTCCCCCATCCATCAGTCTGTCTATCAGTGTTTGTTCAGGTTCCCCAAGGGAGGTGCATTTTGGCTGCTGCCATGTACCTGTTGGCCATCTATATGTTTTCTTTGGAGAAATGTCTATTCAGATTCTTGTCCCTTTTAAAATTCAAATTGTTTCTTTGCTGTCGAGTTGTATGAGCTCTTTATATATTTTGGGATTAACCCATTATCAGTTATATTTGCAAATATTTTCTCCCATTTCTTAGGTTCCCTTTTCATTTTGTTGATGGTTTTCTTTGCTACACAGAAAGCTTTTAGTTTGATATAGTACCATTTGTTTATTTTTGCTTTTGTTGCTTTTGCTAGTTTCATACTATTGTGGTCAGAAAGATGCTTGATCTGATTTTAATCTTAAATTTGTTAACACTTGTTTTGTGGTCAAATATATGTTCTATCCTGGAGAATGTCCCATCTGCACTTGAGAAGAATGTGTATTCTGCTGTTTTTGGATGGAATGTTCTATAAATATCTATTAAGTCCACCTGTGGTCCACTGTTTCTGATTGATGTTCTGTCTGGATGATCTATTTATTTATGAAAGTGGGGTATTAAAGCCCCCTACTATTATTCTGTTGCTGTCTAATTCTCCCTTTAGGTCTATTAATATTTTGTTTATATATTTAGGTGCTCCTATATTGGGTGCATAAATACTTATAAATGTTATATTCTCTTGTTGGATTGACCCCCTTATAGTGACCTTCTTTTGTCTCTATTATAGTCTTTGTCTTAAAGTCTATTTTTGTCTGAATAAATATAGCTACCCCAGCTTTCTTTTGGTTTTCACTTGCATGAAATATCTTCTTCCATCCCTTCACTTTCAGTCTGTATGTGTCCTTACATCTGAAGTTATTAAACCACCACTTTTACATTAGATTATTTTGAATTTTCCTATGTATTTACCTCTCTTAGTGAGATTTATACTTTCATATATTTTCCAGTTACTAATTAGTACCCTTTCATTTCAGCTTAAAGAATCCCCTTTAACATTTCTTGCAAGGCCTAGTGGTGAAGAACTCCTTCAGCTTTTGATTGTCTGGAAAACTCTTTATCTCTCCTTTAATTTTGTAGGACAACTTTGCCAGGTGTAGAGTACTTTTTTGGTTGGCAATTTTTTTCTTTAAGCCCTTTGAATATATGATGCCCTCCTGGTCTGCAAAGTTTCTGCTGAGAAATCTACTGATAGTCTTATGGGAGTTCACTTGTACATAATAAGTTGTTTTTCTCTTGCTGATTTTAGGATTCTTTTCTTGTCTTTAACTTTTAACAGTTTAATTATAATGTTTTAGTGTGGGTTTCTCTGGGTTCATCTTATTTAGATTCACTGGGTTTTCTGGATCTGGAAGTCTGTTTCCTTCCCCAGGATAAGGACGTTTTCAGTTATTATTTCTTCAAATAATTTTCCTGTCCCTTTCTCTTTTTCTTCTCTGGGACCTCTATAATGTGACTGTTGGTCCTCTTGATGTCCCATAAGTCCCTTAAGCTATCTTTCACTGTTTGTAATTATTTTTTCTTTTTTCTACTTTGAATGAATGAGTTCTACTGTCCTGTCTTTGTTTGCTGATCCTTTCTTCTGCTTCATCTAGTCTGCCATTGACTTCTTCTATTGTATTTTTCAGTTCTGTTATTGTGTTCTTCAGCTCTGTGATTTATATTTTATACTTACATTTTCTCTCTCTTAGTTGAGTTTCTCACTTTATTCAGGCATTTTTCTGACCTTGGTGAGTATCTTTATGATTGTTATTTTGAACTTTTTATCAGGTATATCACTTATTTCCATTTTATTAAGGTGTTTTTGTGAGGTTTTATCTTTTTATTTCATTTGGAGCGTATTCCTATGTTTCTTCATTTTCCTTGACTCTCTATGTTGGTTTCTGTGTATTAGATAAAACAGTCACCTCTCCCAGTCTTGAAGGAATGGCCTCATGTGAGAGATGAACCTTATGGTTCAACCCTTTCCTAGCTCTTGGCTATCTCTCAAACCTTTGTGTTTGTAACTGTCCAAGCAACTTACTTTGTTCTTAGTGGTTCTCAGTAGTTGAGGATATATTAAGACTTGTCAGCCTCCCAAAGGGAAGAATCTCAGTCTGCACCTAGATTCAGGCTGATTGGAAGCTGGAACCTCAGGCAGCAGCTTTTGAAGTACATTTTCCGTCAACAAGGCACAAAGGCTCCAGTTTCTCTACACCTTTGCTAACACTTGTTTTCTTCCTTCCTTCCTTTTCACAGTAGCTATCCTAATGGATTTGAGGAGGTATCTCACTGTAGTTTTGATTTACATTTCCCTAATGATTAGTGATGTTGAGCATCTTTTCAGGTGCTTATTGGCCATTCATATATCTTCTTTGGAGAAATGTCTATTGAAGTCCTTTGCCCATTTATTAATTGGGTTGTTTTTGTTGTTGAGTTTTAGAAGTTTCTTACATAGTTTTTATATTAACACTTGAATATATATCCAGATATAAATCAGATATATGATTTGCAAATGTTTCCTTCCATTCTGTGACTTGCCTTTTCACTCTTTGATTGTGTCTCTCTCTTTTTTTTTTAAATTGAAGTATAGTTGATTTACAATGTTGGGTTAATTTCAGGCATATGTCAAAGTGATTTAGTTATATATATTATATATTATAATATTATTATATATATATTTCAGATTCTTTTCCATTATAGGTTGTTACAAGATGATTGTGTCTTTTGATGCACATTTTAAATTTTGATATAATCCAGTCTATTTATTTTTCTTTTATTGCCTGTGCTTTTGGTGTCACATCCAAGAAATAACTTCCAAATCCAATATCATGAAACTTTTCCCCTATGTTTTCTTCTGAGGGCTTTATAGTTTTAGCTCTTACGTTAGGTCTTTAATCATTTTGAATTAATTTTTGTACATAGTGTAAGGTAAGGGTCAACTTCACTCTTTTACATATGAATATCCAGTATTCCCAATACCATTTGTTGAAATGGCTGTTCTTTCTCCATTGAATGGTTTTGGCACTCTGGTTGAAATCATTTGACTATATCTGTGAGCATTTATTTCTGGGATGTCTATTTCTATTCAGTTGGTCTGAATGTCTGTCTTTATGCCAGTATCACATTTTTTTGATTATTAAAATTTTGTAATAACTTCAAAGGCTTGAAATTAGAAAATGTGAGACCTCCAACTTTCTTTTTCTTTTTTCATGATTGTTTTGGCTATTCAGGGATTCCTTGAGATTCAAAATAAATTTTAGGATGGATTTTTCTGTTTTCTGTAAAAAATGCTTTTGGGATTTTGATAGAGGTTGCATTAAATCTTTAGATCACTTTGGGTAGTATTGACATCTAAACAATATTAAATCTTCTAGTCCTTCCATGGTATGTCTTTACATTTATTTATGTCTTCTTTAATTCCTTTCAGCAACATTTTGTATTTTTCAGGGTGTAAGTCTTTCACCTCCTTGGTAAAGTTTATTACTAAGTATTTTATTCTTTCAATGAAAGTATTTTATTCTTTTTGTTTTTTCTTTTTAATTTTTAATGGTACTGGGGATTGAACCCAGGACCTTGTGCATGCTAGGCATACACTACCACTGAGCTGTTTCCCTCTCGCCTTTTGATGCTATTGTAAATGGACTTTAATTCTTAATTTCCTTTTTAGGTTGTTCATTGTTCGATACACAACTGATTTTGAATGTTGATTTTGTATCCTGCAACTTTGCTGTATTCATTTATTAGTTCTAAAGGTTTTTGTCTTTAATCTTTTAAGGTTTTCTATATATAAGATCATAAAGTTTATGTCATCTGCAAAATTTTACTTCTTCCTTTCCAGTTTGGATGCCTTGCTTTTCCTTTTCCTTTCCCTTTTTCCCTTCCCTTCCCTTCTCTCTCTCTTTCTTTTTTCCCCCCTCCTTTTCTTTCCTTTCCTTTCTCTTTCTTTCTTTCTTTCT